TGCTGTCCTCTGGCAGGTGCAAGCAAAGCCACACTCGCAACTTTTCCTGGGCGCCATCAAACACGATCGTTTGAAGAACGTGGAGAACCAATGTGATCCCTGAGTCTCCCCGAAAAAGAAATGGAACAATGGAACGCGTTCCTTCTTTCCGTCTTGGGGATCCTCCGGAAGTCTGTGCCCAAACTTGGCAGGATCGTTCTGGTGGAAGTTTCCGGGAATTTTTGAAGGAAGAGTCACAACTCTTTCAGGTGCTAGGTGATTGTTACGTTGAGGAAAGGCTACAATGTTAGAGTTGGCATATCGGAGTAAATGGCAACCCCAGCATACCCCAGCTGGAACCCTTTGCAAACCACAAATTCTGGCTGTGACGTTCTCATCTTCAAAAGCTGAGCTCCCTTAGAGAGTCACCTCAGGCATTCCAATCGAAACGTCTGAACCTTTGGATTTGTCACCTGAGACGAAACACTCACCCAACGCAGCCTGGCTCATCACCGCCTTGGCTCTGCCAGCTCCGCGGTGCTCGTCTCGGTGCTCGTCTCACCGTTCTCGCGCGCGTCGCGGTGCGCCAGCAGCGCGCGCTGCGCTGCGGTGAACTCGAAGCCCAGCTCGGTGAGTTGGTGCAAGGCAGCTGCCTCGATGTCCTTGAGCAAGCCGCGGTGGATCTAAGTGGATCTAAGTGGTGGGTCACATTGGGACCTAGGGCCCCAAAAAGGTGGTGGCCACCCCGAAGAATGTTTAGTTTTTGGAGGATCTTCATCTTGGCCATGACTAGTGGCTTGATACTTCTCCTGTTCTCCCATGTTTGTGCTTTGTCGTGGCTTCGATTCAATCCGCATCCTTCGGAGGGAATTGTCCATGGCAGGGAATGCCCTTTGTCGTTCCCTTCCTCGATTCCATGAACCGCTGCAAAGTCTTTGAGTCCAAGTCTTGGAAGTTTTAGTTCGGGAATTCTTCACCGTCAAAATAGCTACCCTTCACATCCTTGACTATAGGTGAATAGAATATTAGAATGTAAATTAGATGTGACGGTAGGTCTCTTCCAAAAATTGTTCGCCCTTGGATGACCAGGGATGCACCCGGCGCCACTCCAAAAAGGACGCTCACGCTCCCTAGCGGTTTTCCGATTAGGTTGGAGCCCATTGCTAGTGGGTTGGAGCCCAATGCTAGTAGTAACTAGCAAATAGCTACTAGTAGCGATCAAAGACCTACTAGTAGCTTCTTGTTCCTAGTAGTAGTAGTAGTAGTAGTAGTAGTAAGGCCAGGAGCCCCTAGTAGCGTCCTTGCTCCTAGTAGCGATGCCCTTTGCTCCTAGGGCCAAGGAGTTGTTCGTTTTTTGCCTCGCTTTGGCCACGGTGCCGTCAACTCTTCGGCCTCGCCGACCGAAGAAGAAAACTCCTTAGTGTCTGCAGTCCGCCAGGTTGGGGCCCCGTTCACGGTGAACAGTAGGGTGGCTGTGGATTCGGATGGCTGTGGCTGTGGATTCGCCCAGTAGGGTGGCTAGGGAATGCCAATACACGCTACCTTTCTTTTCTTGATTTGGTACTTACTTTGGAGCTCTATTCTTTAAGGTCTGAGAGAGTGGAAGCGACTCTTCAGCTAGTCACCTGGCATAGTTCCATAGCGGGGCAAACCCAACCGACGGACCCTCCAGCGCCGCATCGACGGACCGAGTCGTTGGCTCGTCCGAAGCTCCGCACCCAAATCCAAGGACTTGAAGATCAGCTCGCGCATCCGCCTCCGTCCGGCCAGTGCGCCAGAAAAAAGGATCCGAAACGGAGAGTGATTCATGTACTGATGTACTGTATAAGTATGTCGTATATCATGTTTGCCGGGAGGCTATGAGTCTATCAGAGTCAAGGTTTCACTATCCTTTGCGCTTTGAACACTCTAGATCACGGTTTGCAGATAAGCCAGGCACCGCCAAGATGCGAGTTCGTACGCCGCTCCTCAAATCGCGTCCCTGCGCGGCCTGGCCAAAATGATACGCGCCTTCATATTGGCCAGCCTCGGGGGAGGACACCGAACCACATTGGCCAGAAACGTCCTGGACCTTCGGTGTCCTGTTCACATGATCCTTTTTGGTGACCAGATGAGATGATGCACATATATATTATATACGCACATAGGGTAGGCGCACCATGAAGGGCTAATTTCCATGAACCAATGAGCCTGAGCCTGAGCGTCAATGCAGTTCAAGTCGAGGAACCGCTTCAGGTCTCGGATGGCTTCCCTTTTGTTCTTCTCTTGCGCCCACGCCTCCTGCCAAAAAACAAGAATTTCAACTGCTGGAGGAGGCAGTTCATGCAGAGAGTGCCCTCTAACCCATCCCCGACCAGGCCTTCTTCTCGCGCCGCTCGCGCTCCTTCTCGGCCCGAGACATGTGTCCGTGCACGGCACCTCAGCGGACCGGCGGGGCAGCCGTTTCAGGCCTCACCGGGGGAGTTCGTGGACCTGTGTTGGGCCTTTGAGCTAGGATGGAGTAGGCTGTGGAAAGCCTTTCTGCCGAGGTCACCTGAGTGTTCATGGCGAGAATGAGTTGTAGCCCACAATAAGGTTGCTTGGAAGATATCGCCGGCAATCACCTGAATGTTGAGCCAGAACATCTGGCGTGAGATGTTCGGAACATGGTCTTCTCACTGGCCTGGCCATCCACTTTCAGTCTGTTTGGATGCTCCCGCTCGCCGGTCCTTCGTCCCGCCCGGTACGTCTGCCAAGCCACCCAAAGGTGCGCGGCTCCAACCTGAAGAAGCAGCGATACTCTGTCACGCAGCGATACTCTGTCACGGCGGGTGTTTATGACATGGTGTGATCTGGTGCCTTATGACCGGCTCGGCCACCCGCAGTCAGGAGCTGAACCTGAAACATATGCCCTATAATAAGAGCCTTGGAAAGGACATTTAAAGGAATGGTTGACCATGACCATGGTTGACCTGGTTTTGTCAATTTGTAGTCTTAAATCCTGTAGGTAAACAATGATGTCTTTGCTAACGACCCTTAAAAAGATGGTGTGATCGAATCCTAGGGTATACTTTCATTCGAGCATCTGACCCAAGCATCAAAGATCATCAAATACCTTTCGATGGTTTTCTGATCCGGTTTTCATCTGCAGATTGCATGAGCATGCTGCAATCTCAAATTACCACCCACCGATCCGCCCCAAAATGCCTCCTGCGTTGCCAGCTTCTCCAGCATCCTCCTGGACCTCCGCGACGGTGGCGTCGTGGGCTTCGGTGACGGTCGCCGGCGGATGGTCGAACCTGCAGAAGCATCGTTCGTCAGAGCCATGCGAGAACCGTCGCAAGCACGTTGAGTGCCGTCTTGCTTGAGCGGTGCTCTGCTCTACTTGGAGCCCCCGCGCACTTGTGCGAGGCCTCTCTCAGGTTCCCCAGCATTCATGGAATCAGAACATGGCCCTATGAAAAGGGTCCAGCCATGCTTAAACATTTACAAAGCACCGCAGACTCGACCAATCCAAAATGGGTGCTTCTTTTGGAATCGCAGTCATCGTCTCTCAGTCACTGACCAAGATCAGCTACCCCAGCTGTGCCTGCAACCAGGTCGGCGGCAGCGGCCGCTGCGCTGCCACTCGAAGCAAATCTTCGAAGGCTCCTAGGAGTGCCGTGGCAGTTCAGTGGCTTTAACACCAAAACTTACAAGTCAAATCAAGTCAAGCAGAGTCAAACATGAACAACTTGAACTTGCCCCAACGAACACCTCGTTCTACCAATTCTACTGCACCAGACTTGACCTGCAGGGCTAGGCAGGGCTAGCGCCTAGGAGCTGAACTTGTGGGCTTGGTCTTTCTTCCGTTTTTTTGGGGGAAGGGTCGGAAGGGTTGCTAGAACGCCAGCACAAACAAACATCTAACTTCCCAATGCAACATGAGTCGGAGGTCAAAACTCAGGAAGGATGAGGAAACCTCTCCCCTCAACAGTATCCCAGGAAAGGTTTCTTTAATTGCCCGGGACCAAGGCCCTTTCGTGTCCTCCTTCAGCTCTTGCAGCTGTTCTTCTTGGGCTTTTCGGGCCAATGCCTTCGCTTCGCGATGTGCTGCACGACGCTTTTCTCAGAAGGTTCTTTGGTCGGGTTGCTCCTCAGTTCCTTTTGATGCCTTTTCTCTTGAGTCTCTTGAGTGGTTTGGACGCTTACGAGGATGTATGCGCATGTGGTGATCGTTGGAAAGGCGCCACATCTTCCCCATGCTGTTGGGATGGACATGTTGTCTACTCGTGTCCCTTCCACGTGTGTTGGCAAGAGGGCAAGCCGAAGTCTGTACTTTCCTACCGCTTAAGAGTTTCTGACCTGCTCCGTAAGCTCACATATATAAGATTCCCGATGGGCAATGCTTTCCCCCACATGGACCCCGATCAGGGACCCCTTGGAAGGCCAATCCCTTGTACAAGTACAAATCCCTCTCTGGCTTTCACCCTGGTTCTCCCTGAGAGTGGTGCATTCACATCGGATTTTTTTGGACTCACTATGCTGCACAACACTACACGCCACTTCGAAACATAGCACATTCATTGGATTCGACATCGGAGAGTGGACCCCAGCAGATCCTCCGCAGCATTCTGCAAATCCTACCAACTCTTTTTGGGGCAAAGCTCCCCAGGATAGGATTGGAGCACAGCAGTCGATCCCATGCAAGGCGCCCGACACTTCCCACTGAGCCCTGGGATGGACGCAGCTTCCTGGCCTCCTTCTTCTCCTGCTCCGCAGCTTCTTTCCCCGTCACCGTTCCGGTGGCCGCCTTGGGCTTCGCAGCGGCCTTGCTCCTTAGCGGTCATGGGTCATGGGCCACAAGTTGTAGCCCATTCTTGGCCACTTAGCGGTGTGTGACGTACCGACACAAGTACAACACACGCACGCATTCCAGGCCACACTCGTGTCTATAGGCCTCGACGGGACGAACCTGCAACCTCGTCTTTGACCGTGCGAAAGTCTCATCGACGCAAGACGTGCACAAGTCTCTTCGACCGGCGTGCGCAGCTCCCGGTGTTTTCCGCGTGCGCCGCTTGTGTTGAACTCAGGGTCTATTGTCGAATTGGATCTGTTTAGCGCTGCTGCCGTCGTCTGCGGCTCTCACAGCTCTAACTTCCTGCGTACAAACCTAAAACTTGGGTTGAGGCCAACTTCCAGGGAAGTGATCAGCAACCGCAACGAATCTTCAATCTTCCTACTATGTTAATGTTTGTCGGGATATTGTCAAGTCTCGTGTATCTTTGCGTCAGTGTGTCCCTCAAGGGGGTGTGATCTTCTACTGCAGCTTCTTGTTCCTCGTAGTAAGGCCAGGAGCCCCTAGTAGCGTCCTTGCTCCTAGTAGTAAGGCCAGGTCCCTTTTCTTCATGTCTGCCACATGGCGAGCCGCCCTAGGCGTCCCACCGTGGCTTCAACCCCCTTCTTCGGTGCTTCGCTCGCCCATCTCAGGAGCCCAATCTTTGGCCCTGTCCTTGGGGACGATTCAGCAACGACAGGAGCAACAGCGCTGTGAAAGGACCCCGGGTACCAGGTCGTTTAAAGGACTCCCCCCGGTGCCAGGTCCTATCGGTATGAATGAAAAAAGACTCGAAATGACCATGAACTATTCTTGAAATTCAGAGTTGATCAGTTTACCTAATGTTTCTTCTCCTATCTTGCCTACTTATTATGTTGACTATCTCACAAAAGGGCCAGGTTTCCATAGGTTTCCATCTTGGTCATCTGAAAGCGTACTCTTTCTTCTACCCATAAAATTCGACCCACCCACGGAGTCTCCCCGTGCCCCCCACCCGCAAAGCCACCGCAAACCCGTACCCACCAGACCCTCCCGCCCAAACCGAGCCGCCCTGGAAGATGGCGAAGTGGCCCGGCTGCGTGCTCTCCGCCCGCGCGTCGTGGAAGCCCTGCTGCGCCGGCGCGTCGCTCCGCTGCACCCGGTCGTAGTTGTAGCCGCCGCTCAAACCCATCTCCATGCCACCGGGCCTCCGCTTCAGAGCGATCCCCCAAAATGAAGAATTCAGTCTGGCTGGGTCTGTCTGTTTCTCTCTTGCACTAGGCCAAAGCAATGAGTAAGAATTGTAGTGTCATATAGCTTAGGCGAGCGCAGTGAATTAACAAAACGACGCTTTTTTTCAAACAGAACTATTCACGACGAGTAGTGAAGATCCGTTCTACCCAACCACTGCCGATCCGCGCAGCCCACTGAAAACAGTTTTTAACACTGTTCCACCGCCAATTCAATCACCGACCCAGTGGCGGGACACGGATCTGCTGGTAGATGGAGCAAGCAAAGTAGACCTCGAACAAACACAACATCGGCGTTCTGCGCTGTGCGCGCGGACGCATCGGCGTGGACATCGCGTAGCATGTCTCACCTCAACGGCACCCACGGTTGGCGTACAAGACACGGTGGATTGGACGCATATCGCTTGCACGCATGTTGGGTTGGTGACTCTTGGACTCTTCCACCCAAACATGACTTTGTAGTGACCGGGACACTCAGCCAACTCGTGGATGGTAGCGGCCAACGATGTATTTGGCTGGGATTCCTTTTTGGAGCCCCCTGGACAGGCCCTTCGGACCCTTGCAGGCTGCCGCCCAGGCGCCGCACAGGCCTGCGAAAGCTCGGATCCAGCGAGGAAAAGGCCATAGGGCATGATGGAGAGGAAGGGCATGCGCTGAAAGAAGTCCTCGACGCGACTGGTGGACGCGACTGGTCGGTAGGAGGGACCGGTGCCAACTAATGAGGAGTCCAGGAGTGCGTCACTCGATATATGCCTAAGGACATTAAATGAGGTTAGTTTGGGAATCCCAAGGGCATGCATCTGCATTTAGATGGCTTTCCGAAGGCGTAAAATCACCGAACCAGTCTGGTGCAATCACTCGTGCATTCTTGCACTATATATTCTTGTTATTTCTTGTTCTTATCAGGGCTCTGGTGCAAATGGATGAATGATTAGAATGATTCCACCTTTTGGGTTTGTGGTAGCTGAGCTGAATTCTGCCGGAGTCGTTGAACGCCACTGGTCGCCACGACGGTCACATTCCACAGTCCCAGAAAACAACACGTGGTCTGAAGGGACCAACATCCCACAGAGTAGGGTCCCAAAACCTATGAGCATCTACCGCGGACCATCCAAAAGGTGTCCAATGGACTACCCGGTTCTTCATTGGACACCCATTGGATGGTACAGGTATGAGCTCCGATGATGCATGACACACCGCCAACTGACGCCCAGCTCAACCCCTGGCCCTGCCGCACTTCTCTGGGATCGAGCATCAATCAACACATTCAGCAGGGTCATGATCATAAAGGGGATCAAGCATTGCATTCCTCCCTGACCGGCATCCGCACACACCTGAGAGGCTGGGCAGACTGCCGGGCAGCTGATCCAGCCTGTCAGCCTGCCGTGGAGGCTTTCTTGATCCCTGGAAGGTGGAATCCGGGAAGGAATCCGGGACTGCCGAACCAGCAGGAAAATTCGTTTTCTAAAGCATCTTTCTTGGCTTCAATCTTTTCAGCAAAACAGTTTGTCTTGGGTGAATCGCATTACTACAGTTGGAACATGTGTTTGACCCTTGGACATCTCTCTCGCTGCCTGTCTCGTCCCCCTTCCGTCTCTCTCTCTCTCTCTCTGTCTTGGCTTTTGGCAGTGGGATAACAAAATCCAACAAAGATTTGACAGCGTTTGGAGCGCCACGTGCTGTTAAAAAGAAAATGTTGCTGTGCCAGCTGTAGGGTGCTTGGCAAATCGTCTGGGCCAAGCACTCGTAGAACCTCTGCAAATGCTCATCATCCTGCGGAGGTTCCGGAAACAAAAGCGTGCGGGGAACCTGAGAATTGACCCGTGCAAGACCATCTAATGTGGTCCTCTGCAGGGGACCGGGGAGTAAATTAAGTAGCCGTCGAAGGTTCAGTTGAACAGAAAGCACAGTCATGTGAAGAAAACATGGATGATGGAACATATCCCCAAATCAAACGTAACTAAGTGGTTGAACACATCACAACCCTGAAAGGCCACTTGAGCAAAGGCCTGCACATTTCTCATTCCAAACCTGCGGGTGGGCAGGACTGCGAAAACGAACACTATGGGCACTCACTGCGTTTCCGACAAACCACCAACTGAACCAATCTTTTTCATCCGCTTTCCCATTGAAGTTGTCACTGAAACCTCACTGCCACCGGTGTCTTTTGGATGCCCATCATCTCTCTTCTACGTAACGTACCTTCAGCATGAAGGTGCCCATGGTGATGCTCAGGAAGATGTTCAGCAACGTGAAGAAGTCGAAGGACACCGCGCCCAGCGCCACGGCGCATGCCGCCCGACCGATGGCGAAGAAGATCATCGCGAGGATGGAGTACTTGAGGCGTCGGACCTGGAGCTACTGCGAAAACACAGCACCCACCGTTGGAGCAACAAAAACACCCCAAATCCGACGTTTTAGCAGGATTGATTGGACAGAATGGATGGTTTCTGATGGCTTTAGGCAAACCCCCCCTTCTGGGGTCAGTTGCAATGACCACACCTTTTCTTCAAACTCCAGCAAACCCAAATACCATCAAACACCTCTGACGCTGGCACCGTCTCACCCCCAATACATCTCGAAAACCATCGTCTCCCTCAAAAGAGGGACGTCGTCGTCTCGGAGCTTCGACCTGTTGAATTCCAGACATCCTGATTCGACCCGTTCCACCTTGTGGGACCGTGGAGGTGCAACAACGACCTGTCGCCCGACAAGTCCAGTCAGGCCAAGTGAAACTTAGTCCTTGACCTCATGTTTCCTTACTGGTGTCCTCTGATCCCGTCAAATGAGGTCCGTAAGGGCTGGTTCGGGAAGTCTATTCATGTCTATTCCCCAGGTTCGGAGATCTTCGGAGATTCACCCAGGTTCGGGAATCTAAGAAAAACAATTCCACCGGTGCCCACCGGTTTCCACATGCCCGCCGTGGTCGGTGCTTTCGGCGTCCCGGAGCGGCCAGTGGGGTCGAGCTGGGCGTCCGTTTTGGAGTTCGGCAGGCCGAAAACGGGTCGAGACCATCGTATTGCTGACCTCCCGAGGCGTTTCCTCCGCTTAACCTTGTTCCTCCTGTTCGCTTTTAGTGATCTGTCTCAGTGGTTAAAAACCAATCACCCAACAAACATCTAAAAGGGTTTTGCTGGCGATGCACTTTTCCTCAGGATGGTATGTGCTCCACCCTTTAAAAAAACAGACCTGCCGACCCCCTCTTCCATCCTCGGCGAGTCGGTGTTGTTAGTTGGGAAGATGTTGGGAGTTCCGCCTGCGCCTAGGGCCCTAGGGCCTAGGTAGACAAGCAGATTGAGCCGGGGGAAGTCTAGCGAGCCGTGCGCGATGCGATCCCGGCCCCGCCCCGATCATCCCACCCAAAACCCCCCTGAAGCCGCTACCCCCGAAAAGGTCCGGGAGTAGCTGCGAGACGACCGAAGGCACGTTGGGTTGACATTCGTCCGGTAGGGGGCCATCGGGCATGGGCACATTGGGGATGGGAAGCACCATCGCTCCACGCAGCGACGCGCAGGCGGTGGGCTGCTTCCGCCCACGTGATGGCAATGCGCAATGCTTGAACCAGGTGTCAGAAAGGGAACAATGACCAAATTCTAGTAACAAGGCTACTAGGTGGAGGCCATCGCTACTACGTGGAGGCCATCGCTACTAGTAACAAGAAGCGGAACAAAAACTGGACCTTCTCCGTCTCAGCTCACTAGGTTCACCCCCCAATCCTCGTTTCAAACACATTGTTTGGCCCCCCCCCATACGCAACCCGTCAAACAATGTATCCCTGATGTTCCAGGGGGGTTGACTTCGCATGACATGTTTGTAGAGCTGTTGGTAGAGCTTACATGAGATTACTTTTGGGGTTCAACCAGTGCAACCCTAACATGAATCCTTCTCCTCAGACAGGCTTCTTTGGCTTGGCTTTCGGCGCTGTTGCTTCACCTCAGCTGAGCTTCGTTGCCCAAAACTAAGCCTTTGAAGGTTCTCATTGAAGGAACACCATCTGTTAGCAAACTTGGGGACTCAAACTGCTTGTGTTTTCCTTTTGCTCATGCTGACAGGGGGGCATCATAGCGTGCTAATGACACTAACCCTCGGGATCTAATCAGCACACCTCCAAAATGGCGAGCACCAAAGTTGCAATCCGCTGGGTTGCGGAGAAGTTTTGGCTTCTGGGGAGCAATCGCTTTCGTCAACTGAATGTTGCACTGAAAATGGGGCACACGGGGGAAGATGTGTTCCATCTGCATCTACACTGCACAGAACTTGGGTACTGCAAAGATATCTCAGCTATGATCAGCTTATTCAGCTGTGTGTCAATTTGTCCACCCCAATGCATCATAGGCTTCACGGGGTGTTTCCAAGCATCTCCGAGCCATCCGACATCCACCAAGCTACCAATGGCTTCCAACCAGGTCTCTCGATATCCATCCGGCAGTTTCCTCTCCAGCGGCAGATCGGAGCAAAGCTTCAGCAGTGCCACAAGCGCAGCCTGAGAGGTGGTAGCGGTGGGACAGCAGGGACGGACATGGCTGACACACAAGGGACATGAAAGGACACTGTGAGGACATGAAACCAGGCGAGGTGACGGTCTTCACCGGCTTTTCGTGCGGGTCCTGAATTATTTCGCCACCGGCTCTTGTTTCATTTTTTGGGGGAGGATCGTGTGAAAAAGCTGGACAGTAACGTAACTCCATTTGATCTCTCATATTCCTGAGCTGGGCGATACAAACAACTACGCAGAACTCCAAGGGTGCCTGAAGCCATGCAAATGAGGCAAACGCCTGAAAATCCTATTCCCTTCGACCAAACCCTCACTCCTGACTGCGAATCCCTCCCCCCACCCCTCCCACCAAAACAACCAGCCGCACCTCCTCGCGCGCGGCGAAGGGCGTCTCCGCGTCGCGGTTCGCTTCGAACTCCAAGGACTTGGAAACGTCCTCTTGGACGGAGACCGGAGACGAGACGAGACGGCGGAGACGACGGCTTCGTGGTGGGGAGCTGGTGGAGTAGTAGACTAGTTAGAGCAAAAGAAGACCGTCGCGAGGGTGTCTTGGGGGTGTGTCAAAGTGGGTTACTAGCTGCGTAGGCTAGAGGAGAGTTGACATGATTCAAAAGGTTGACAAGTTCCAAGCCGATCTGAGGTCTTTCCATACGGGCTGGTCTGTGAGATAGTGTGTTACTTCAAGATCATTGCTTTGCAGAAAAATAGATGAGTGATGATGAGTGCAATGATGATGCCATTCGCTCGCAACTAGAGTTAGATATCCATTTCAACATCTCAAATTTGACCTTTCATCTTCTCCTCCTCCCTGCAAAAAACACCTGCCCCCCCACATGCAGTAGATAATCTTTTGTTGCCCTGTTTCGCTGGCGCCGCTTTTGGCTCTTTCTTTTTCTTCGACCGCAGGGGCTCCAAACTTCCAAGCTGTATCCTGAGTGACAAGTCATGGCAACCCAACAACTCCGGAAGCTTTCGGCACAAAATCGCCATAGGAGGAGTGCCTAACATAGCAAAAGGACTGGTGGGATTGGAAAGTTTGTTTGTTGAAGACCTCCTGCACAAAGCACAAAGTGTCTGACACTTAGGAATGATCCACTGCATACATATGCTTAAACATGCTTTTTGTTTGGGGCTGCCAGGGTGGAGTGGTTTCCCTCAGTCTGGAAGCACGACTTTCAGCAAGAATGGTCCTTTTCCAAGCTCAAGAATCCGCTTCGACCACTTGGGGAATCAGCGCCCTTTCCGCAGAAGTCTACATCGTTTGGTCCCGCGCAGAGGGCGACGCCGTTCCGCCGTAGCCGCCGGTGGCCGCTTGATGGGGTGGTGAAGCTTCCACCTTCGTTGGAGACAATGGCGGGAAAAGCCGGCAAGGCCTGACACCCTGAAGTGTTTTCCATGTATGTTCTCATCACCCTACCCCCTTTCCCCCCCCCAAAACGTGAGATCTAGACCCTGCTCACCATGGACTCGAACCCCACCAGTTCCAACTTCCACGCCCATCGTCCCCACCTCCACCGCGCTGAGGCTGGCCACGTGCTGCCGCCACCGCACAGCGCCCACGCCCTCGCGGCCCGGCACGGCGAGCGGCGGCAGGGCCTCGAAGAAGGTGCACTTCCGCTCGGCCTCACCGGTGAGATGGGACGCAGGCGACGTTGGCCTCCGTTCTGGGGTAAGTTTGTGAGGTTGGGATGGGTGAGGAACTGATGTAGGACACATGAACAGAGTAAAGTAATGTAAAGCAGTAAAGAGTTACACAGGTATCCAATTCCACAGGAATCACCAAGACCCTCTTGGAGGCAGCATCTTCCAGGTTGCATTTTCTGACACCAGTTGGTTCTCAGATCTTCTCGCAAACACTGGAAAGCACAGTAGCATCTTTTGCCGTCAAGCCGAAGTCTGAGTTTGTGCTTCGTAGCCTTTTTGGCCACGGGAGGGCGGGTAGGGAGTGGCTAAGCACCCCCTGAGCCCAAACTCCAGGTGCGAACGGCTCATAGAACCTTACGTTTTCCCTGGATCAAACTTTCATGTTCTCAGATCTTCTCGCAAACACTGGAAAGCACAGTAGCATCTTTTGCCGTCAAGCCGAAGTCTGAGTTTGTGCTTCGTAGCCTTTTTGGCCGCGCTTTCCATCCGAAGCTGATCTCGCCATAGAGCTCCACGTGGGTCGTTGTCTTGCCATTCGAGGTGTCATAGCCATGCCCTCCGTGATCTTCGTTAAGTTGCCTAAGGCGTAGTCCTCGCTCACGCTGCCCATTGATCCCACCTTCATGGAGCTTTGTAGTCCTGTAGGCGTGTCAGCAATCCTTTGTTTTGGCTTCTCTTGGTGTCGGGGCGCCGCCTCATAGCCCTTGTTCTTCCTTGGTGCAAGAAGTTGACCATCTGCACCAGCCATGCCCTTCGCGAGGTCCCTCTGGCGCTCATGCGACTCCCAAAGATAGCCATGGAATGCATCTGAATTCCATCTCCCAAATCTTTTGACCACGTCCAAGTCCTTCGTGGTCTGATACATTGCTGTTGCTCCTCCAATACGGAGGCTGTGCGAGCCATACCGGGTCGTAGATTGTCCATCTGCCACCGCTGCCAGCTGGATCAGGTTCTGAATGTCCCCGCGCTGCAACGGCTTGCCATCCTCGAACCTGAACAGGGGCTGATTTTCTTCTGCTCCTGCAAAACGTTCAGGCTTGATGTTCTGGTAGTCCGCGAGGGCGCTGACCACGCACAGCTCGTTGCCACTCTTGAACTGGTTGCGCACTGTGCCTTGGTTATATTGGTCTGTCTTAGATCCTTTAAGGTAGATCACCACCTCCTCCGCCTGGTGGAAGTTCGTCACCTGCATGTTGTCCTTGCGCGCCTCGATGTCGCTGCCCTTCAGGGTGCGTGTGCTGCCCCACGATCGGCCGACCGTGACTAAGAACTCTGAGGCCCGCAGCAGGAAGAAGAACCCCACCATAATGGCAGCCCAGAGGATCACTTGATCACCCTTGCTCAGAGTGTCGCAAGAGCGCAGATGGCGGTGGATCCAGACGAGCATGCCAGGGAGCACCGGATACTTGCGCTTCGTCTCTGGTTGCCATCGCTTGAAGCCATTCAGCGCTGCCCAGATGCGGACCCGGTTCAAGGTGGGGTCATCGTGTCCAGCCACTAGATGGCCCATCTTGATAGCAAAGGGCCTTTGCTTCACGGTGCCCTCTGTCCTCCCCATGACGTGGGCCAGGTAGGTCATGAATCGCAGAAGCTCATCCTCATCGGCCTTCCTCTCGTCCTTGGTCTCCCCGACGAGGTAGACGCCCTTGTTGCCCATGCGACGCCAGAGACACCACTGCTTCCACCCGACCTCGTAGCCCGCACGCGTGCCCTCCGAGAGCTTGGACATCACCGCCTCAGCCGCCAATGCATCCAGCCATGCCCGGTCGCGTTGAAGTTCCTGATTTGCATCCAGCTGAAGTCGTTCTCGACCTCGTCCAATCGCGCTTGGAAGCACCAGACGGTCAGGAGGGGCGGACTTCGCTCTCTTCAACCCAGTCTGCCTGCGTCCTCCGATCTTTTCGAGGGCCTCCGGGTCTTGCCGCTGGGTTGCCATCCATCTCTCATAGCTGGCTCTAGGGTTCTGATGATCCCCTTGCCAGGCCCTCATCCATGCCTTCACCTGCTCATCGGCCCTGGCCCTGTCAGCGTCGAAGCACACTCCTACACGTTCTTGTCCTGCTGGGTCCGCTTCTGGCCGATCTTGCCTCCAACGCTCAAACCAAGCGACCAGCCTGTGGGCACTCTGCTGTGGGAACTTCATGGCCGCGTCCTTCTTGAAGAAGTCCTGCTTCGTCCCGAGCTCTCGCAGCATGTGAACGTCTTCGAGGCGCCCACCATTGAGGAGCCACTCTTCTTCTGCTCCAAGCCGCCTTGCTTGCACTTCTGCGCCTCGATGATCAAGCACAACCATGGACTTGCCCCTCCTACAAGTTAACGCAGGCCCACGGATGTCGTAGATAAGCTCCTTGGCCTCTCCATCTTGGCTGCTAGCGAAGTGCCCTGCCGGCCACGGGAGCATGCGGTCTCCTGACGTGGAGATTTTGTGGTTCACGTTCACCACCGTGCCCGGGTCGAGCCACTGAGGTTTCACTGAACATGCCGCAGGGTCCAGCGTTCTCTGAATACTAGCAGGCTCAGCTGCGCTCCTTGGAGGCATGGAGGCTCCCTGAATGGTCTCACCTTTCCGCACGCGGCTTCCAAGGACAATGACTTTCCTCTTCGCCACCGGGTCTCCATAGTGAGTGGTCAGGCAGTCGAAGGTGTGCACGATGTAGCTCAGCCTCACCAAATCGGTCTTAATCTCCTCAACTGGTCCGCCCTTTGCAATGTCAATCAGCACATTTGCCGGGAGGTGCTTCTTAACAAACTGCTTGATGTAGGTCCGACTGCCACCCCAGCTGTCTTCAGCGACTGAAGCGAACACCCACACCAAGTCCGTCTCATCTGTCAGCGTGGTGCTGCCCTTGAGGTTCAGTTCCTCGAGCTTCTCCTCCATGGGTGTGCCTTGCTGACCGACCTTGCAGACCTGACCTCCCAGTCGATCCCACGCGATCGCCCAAGGCAACCTGCCTCGGCCCAACTCCACGGCGCAGCCAGCTGCTACAATTGGGCAATAGGGCTTGTGCACCACATCCACCGCTTGGGTCAAACTCCCGAGTGCTTCGCCACCCGGCCACCTGAAGATGCCCGCCACGGACTCGTCGATGTAGTGCCCCCAGTCCTCCTTCACGTCGACCTTGGTCCAACCGTCCAGCTCCATCTTGTCTTCAACGACCTTCTTGGTCTCTCTGCTCAACCAGTCGGCGGTGACATTGTGGTAGGTCCTGATGTAGAATGCCACCGTCTTGAAGTGGTAGCGAACTTCCAACATCCCCAGGATGCGGATGATGTGGCGTGCGATAGCACACTTCGATTGCCGTTTTGTGAGCCAGGAGCGGACATTTTGATTGTCCGTTGCATAGGCGACGAGTTCGCCGTGCCATCCATGGCTTTCAGCAGCAGCAAGTCCAGCGTAGCAGAGGAGTTCAGCAATGGCGATCTTCATCTCCGGCTCCTCAGCCAATTCGGGCACCTTCCCAAGCGCTTTGAGCATCTCCTTGGCGTCCTCGCGCATGTAGTGCTTTGCCTTCCAATCAAGAGCTCCCGCCACCTCTGGAGTGGCGTCGCCTCCCACCCAACGTAGCCTTTCTCGCATGCCAGGGAGTGCTAGGAGCTCTCTCGTGGTCAGCATGCTCTCCATGGTGGACTCGAAGGTGCCCTCATAGGGTGTCTCAAACCACAGCCTCAGCAATGCCAGCATCTCGTCCCAGCACCGCCAGGCTCGGGCCGCTGCGTCCTCGTCGTTCACGTTCGGCCGGATGTAGCCTCCCTCGCACTTGCTGGGGCATAGGAAGAGATCGATGACGCTGAGCTCAGTCCTCAAAGGTGGGATTGTAATGGCGGCATACTGACCCAGTCCCCTTAGCTCCTGAGCAACTTTGAGGTGAACTTCACGTCCACCGAATTGCAATTCCGGGAGCGCCAAAAGGTATCTCATCTTCAAGGCTTTGGGCTCGGGCAGTCTGATCGTCATGCTCTCCACGTTCATGAACAGGCCCCATACGATCTGTTCTGTTGCCGGGGTGCCCTCCTCAATCTGCTTCTCCAGGTTCAGCGCCGCCTGGCCCCAAATCTTCTCGATCGCATGCCCCAAGGAATCCACGGCTTGCCAGGGCCGCACCCCCACCATGGGCTCAACAATGACACTATCGTCCATCAGCCATTCAGAGGAGAACGGAGTCGGACCATTGACCTGCTCATCCGCGGGCTTGAAGTTCTCGTGGTACGCTCTTCCTGCCAGTGCGAAGGCCATGTATTCTCCGGGAGCTCCGCACCAGCCGAAGGGGAGACCTCCGTAGATCATCTTCACCCTCCCTTCAACTCCAACTGGGCCTCCAGGAAGTGCGCTCCCAAAGTCCGAGGTGTCCTCTGGAGCAACATCATGCCATTTGAATGCCCTGCTCACGTCCAGCTTGGCGATGAGGCACCTGATCCCAGGGTGGCGGGCTCCCCACCAGATCGCCTTCCTGGCAATCTGGCGATGGCGCGGCTGCACGGCTGGCGGGTGTTGGAATTTGTGGGTGGCCGCGTTTGCAGTCATCATGGCGTGGATCGGGCGACCTTCAGTGCTGATGCTCCGATCAGGTAACTGCTTCGGGACTCGTCCTTGCGGGCATTCGATGAGGTTCCGGGTACATTCTTCCGTCTTGTCGGAGGCGAAGAGCACGATGCCCCAATGACCATCTTTCCAGGCCTTCTGGTACATCTCCTCGATGTTGTCCACAGCGGAGGGATACGGCTCTGCTTTAAGCCTCCTGGGCGGATAATACCTGCGCGTGCGAACACCCCCTGCGTTCATGGCCTTGAGGTAGTCCGCGTGATTGGCATCCAAGCATTCCAGCACCTCATTCGTAGTGGCGCCTGCCGTAGGGACCCCAATGGTTCGACGCCTTGCTTCACGAAGACCTTGCATTGCCCTTTCCAAGGTGCCTGCTGATCTCAGAAGGTCGTCACCGAGGGCGACTGCTGTCCTGATCACCTGGGTGTCATACTTTGGGTGGTTCTTGCAGTGTTCCATGTACTTCAGGGCTCGATCAAGCACTTCACCGCGCGGCTCCTCCATCAAGTTCTGGTCGTCCATGTAGCCAACCTGGCATTGCTCGTCGGGCTCGAGGCAGTGACCCAACCATCCACAAGTTTGCGCCTCCTCATACTCCAGTACTTGAGAAGCGGCTAGGTAGCCTACCCTCCTGTCCGAGCCATCGTCACCCCTCGAAGGGGCGAAGCCCCTGGACCTGGATCTTGAGCGCTGTCGCCGGTCATCGGAGCTCCCTGCTTCCCCCACGGCTTGCTCGGCATTCGATTCCTCCTCCTCAATGCGTCCACCATGCCACGGGTCCCAAACACCCCCGCCTGGATAGTACCTCCTCGCTGCTTCCACCTCCCTCGTGGGGGGTTGAAACTCTCGAGGTGACCTGAATGCCGGCGCCATGTCACGCCCTTCTGGGAGCACCGGTTGAAGCCCCCCATCAACTTCGGAATCAGGATCTTCACCTTCCCCTTCTTCTTGCCCGTGCCCGAAGCGCCTCCCCAGCTCCGGTCTGATCTCCGGGTCATAGAGGTAGAACGTGGTGGCACCAGTCCAGTCGGCATACTCGGCCTCAATTGCATCCGGGATGTCACGCAACCTTGCGAGGTCAACTCTCCAGTTGTCCAAGAACACCCTTTCCTGCGGAACGGCCTCCGAGAGGTCCCGCCTCTGGGGGTACATCCAGGTCCGGCGATCACTACGGATCAGGTGGTCTGACACTGGGCAGTCCACCCAATCACCATAGTGCGACCCAAACATAGATCTCCTGGGCATCACATGATGGCGAACAAGGAAGAGCGTGTCCTCCTGATAGTCCCACCAGTCCTCAGAGCGCCCGTTGATGCCCTCCAGCGGTCGTGGTGGCCCGAAGACGTTGATGCCTCCCTCGTAGGGTCGCACCGGTGCCGCTGCTTCTCCTGGGTTCACCTCTCTCGGGATGAGCCTGGCCATCACTGCTGCCTCATCTCGCGGGTTCATGCGCCGATCGGCGTCGCTCAGGGTCTCCTCCTCCTCTTCTTCCTCTTCCAAAGGCTCTTCTTCTGGGGGAACAGGAATTCCGTGAGCGAACTCGCTCTCTCCAACGCTGCCGCAATGGTGCCCACGAAGAAGTTGAGAGCCTCCGTGGAACTCAGAGTACTCTGCACTACCGCAGTGTCCATCTGTCCTGTAGGAAGTCGAGCGAGCTGGCTGATCTGTCTTTCCCGACGTCGACGTCATAGTTGATGAAGAAGCGGAAGAAGATGGGTGGGCTTTCGAGTCTTGTGCTCTGCTCGCTGTTCTGTGTGGGAGTGCCCCTTCTCGGCCATTGTCCTTCTGTATGACCTCCAGCGCTTGCGCCACCTGTATTGTGTCCCAACCGGCATAGGCCGCCTGCACCACGAGTGCCCATCCTTTGCAGAGGCGTCCAGGGTATACTTGTGCGCGACGGGTTCGAGGAACTCCTGGAATGTCCGACTCGCCCTTGACATCCATGTGTCTATGATTGCCCTGGCAGCGTCGTGACAACAACAATGCGTGGAGGTATAGGCCAGGTGACACTAAGTTCCACTGGCCCTTTTTGTATCTCATCTCTGGCCTGTCGCTGGGTGCTGCACCCCATTCGCACAAGTGGGTCGGCACGATGAGAGCTCCAGTCGATTGTTGTAGCCTTTGAACGGCTGGTTGATCCCAAATCTTGGGATATCTCCCTGAAGGCATCGAGGACTCGAGCACGAACTCCTTGTCATGGGCATAGAGCAGCTCACACATCCGGCAGGTGAGCTCGCAGAAGTAGTTACCCTCCTCCTCGCTCTTCGTCGGATCTGGGCCCCCTTCAGGCGAAGTGAAGCTACGTGTTCCTCCATTCAGGATGTTGAAGTCGCAGTAGCTTGTGCAGGGAGTTCCAAATTCCCAGACATTCGCTGTGGATGGTCCCGGGAGTTCAGCAGCTGCTTGGAGGTAATAGTTGGCCACGGCCTCGTCCTTCAAGTCGAAGTGGCTGCGTCTGTCCTGCTTTTGAAGGGGGTCTCCAAACAGTTCGACCGGCTCGTTGGCCGCCATGCCTGCTTCTCGCATCGCCTGGGTCCACGTCCCTGAACCAGCAAAGACCTCTTGTACCCTCACTCCATAGGCGAACGAAGGTCGGTGTTTCAAGGGCGTCCGTGCTCCCATCAAGATCAGCTCCTGGGTGTCCACCGGGTGTTCGTTGAAGCTCCATGGCACCTGCGGCTGACCCTTTCCCTGCTTGGGGTTGTTGTCAAGGCATCTAGGGCACTTGGGTCGTTTTCCCGGCACGAGGGGGGGCAGCTGTGTCCTCATTTGCAAGGAACTCCCAACAACCTTCACATTGCCATTCTCTGTCCACCTGCCCGTTGAGGGTTAGCTCAGCCGCCACCTTGATTGGTTCTTCCTTCTCATTCGGTACGAGAAGCCGGATGTGACCACCATGGATCAGGAATGGGATGATCTGCCCCTCACTGCCTGGCTGGCTCCCCACGAGGTGGTCCACCTGGAATTGTCCGCGGCAATTCAGCCTCCAGCATTGGAGTGTGACCTCACGAAGTTCGTCCAGCACGAAGGCCTGGAAGAGCCTGTAGTCCTTGTCATGATTTGCTCGAAGACAGTCATGGGCGTAGCCACGAATTTCAGCTTCACGTGCTCCAATCCACGGCGCTGGGTCACCTAGTTCTGCGACTGCTCTTGCAGCTTCATCCCAAAGGCATGCCCTGAAAGATTGCGCTTTCTGCTTGACCTCCTCGATGGTTGGCCTGCGCTCCGGGTCCCAGTCGCCTTCCCATAATAGGATGCCTGCTGCTGGATGAAGCACAAGACATTGCCTCTCTTCATCTTCTCCAGGTTGTAGCCCCAACGCACTGGCCAGCTCGTCCGAGACGGGGAGCTTGTCCTTGTAGTCCAGATAGCGCCAGCTGATGCGCCTGTCTCCACATTGGAATTCGAACTTGCCCTCACCATAGCCCTTGTCCTTGTACCAGGTAGGTGCACTGATCCAGGCCTGCTTCTCATCGTCGATCCAACCCACTGAACGCTCCTCATTGAGGACCTTCTCAGCTTCTTGTGCGAGTTCTGGGCATCCCTTCTCGGTTGCCTCGAGGAGCACCTCGTCGACCGTCGTCTCCTGCTTTTCAATGACTGCATTCAGCATCCTCCCCCGCACGTGAGACTGAAGGTAGCTGGACCACTGGTTCAGCCTTGCGAACGTCCCCGCCTTCTCCATCTCTTCGAGGACCTTCAGCCTTCGAAGGGCTTCGGGGTGTTTGACTCGTCTGTCCCAAGTCGTGTAGCCCTTGTGCCCGGGTTCGAGCATTGGGTCCTTGAGCCAATGTGCGTCTGGGCCACGTGTCAGCTCCCTCAGCTCATCCTCCAACTGAGTGTATTGGACCCCCTCATACTCTTCCGGGGGCAGCCAACCCTGCTTCTGGACGCCGTCCTTCACCTTCTCGTCATGCTCCGCCTTCGCCTGCGTCCGAAGTTGAGCGATGCGTCCATCAACTTGTCCCGGTTGGATCATAGGGCCACTCTTCAGCCCACCACGTCGGATCAGCTGTGCCAAAACGGTCCAATGCAGCCCCTTCGTCGTGGTGATGGGTTGGCGGGCGTGGTTGCAATCCTTGCCCCTGCTGCATCCCATGTGTGTAGCTCCATCCCAACAAATGGGCTTGCCCTCCTTCGTCCTGGGTCCGTGTTTCACTGACTCAGCTGCCTTGGGTCTAAGCCTCTTGCCAGCAGGGAATGCCTTCTTCTCATCGCGCTCCTTCTCCTTCTTCTTCTTGTCCTTGTCACCCGCGCGGTCACGTCCTCGGCCAACTCGATCTTCATCGCCGCCCGCATCACCTCCTTGGCTGTCTCCGTCAGGGTGAGGTTGATCGCCACCCACCTTGGGCGCTTGGCGCTTGTGGTGCAACTGGCTGTAGATGATGCCCTTCAAAGCTCTTGCTTGCCTTGGTGCACATACCTGCTGGTAATAGCCATCAGGGTGTGCTAGGTCGAAGGTCCTGGGGAAGTGGAAGCCACTGTCAGGTGCGAGCGCCACAAACTTGAGGTCTTCCTTGCGGGGGTTGTCGGTGTTCAGGATCCTGCAAAGTTGCCTGCGACTCTCCCTCAACTCCTCGACCCAGGCGGCTTTGAGCTCCTCCCACAAGCTGTAGCAGTAGTTCTCCGGCCAAACATCTGAGTCTTGTTCGTGTGCCCGCTCGATCTGGTCCAAGGCCTTGAGTCTCTCCTTCTTGTGCTCCAGGCCCAAAACTGAACCCAACATCTTGATCTCGTTCCGCGCCTGCTTCAGCCATGTTGCAAAGTGTGTGGGGTATCTCGGCTTGGGCTCAATCTTGTCGTCCTTCGGGGCCTCGTACTGGTCGAAGTCTCTTGGCTTGGCCGTCACCGCATGCGCCACACTAAGCTGCCATGGAGCCAAAGTGGTATGATCCTTTCCGCCATGTTGCAACGCTGCCAGTCCATAAGCTATGCCGTTCGTCACCAAGCATGGCCATTCGATCTGCTGCAGTTTTGCCTTGGCGTGGGAACATGCTCTCTTCAAGGCGTCGAAGAGCTCCTTGCCGGTGACGTCGGGGCACACCTCCACGGTCAACGTGTTGCAGCCACGTGCAAGGTAGACATCTAAGCTCTCCTCGGAACCAATGGAGCTCCTTGTTCCCGGGCTGCCCTTCTTGTCACCTTCCGTTGCCTTCCGGATGCCCTCCAATGCGTGTACTACCCGGGCTCCCATTTGGCCGTCTTCGTCATCACCTCCTGCTCCAGCACGGGTCGAAGTGTCATCCAGCCTCCCACCAAGTCCGAACAGTTGTCCCACCACGCCGTCATTCGCGGTCAGGGGGTTCTTCCCATCTGGGCTGCCAGCTGGACGGATGAGGCTCCCATCATCTTTCATGATGCCATACTGCTGTGGGAAAAGCTTGTCCGAGAAGGAGGTGGGCTTCCTCTCCATAGGCTTGGGTCTGTCCAACTGAGCTCCCTGTAAGGTGTTGTCGTCCTTGCTCACACTCGTGCTCTGGTTGTTCGTGCCCTTCAGAATCTTGATCGCCACCTCAACCTGCTCATTCTGCTTGCCACAGTTCTTGCGGATGTAGTTCCTCAGCACTCCCTGTATGGTCGGAGCGTCCGCTTCAAAGATCATCTGAACCGTGTCCATGGCCTCTTGGTGCGTCTGCCCTGTGGTCGTTGCCGTGACAAAAGCCTCCACGATGCCCTCGCCGGTCAGGTCCTCGGTCTCTGCGTCCGCAACCACCTCGTGCTCTGTTCTCTGCTTCCGCTCGTCCTCCTCCTTCATGATCCTGGCCAGGCTATGACTCCTACTGCGGGATCTTCTCCGCGTCTCCTCCGAAGTCACCAGGGGTGGATGCTCCGTACGGCCACGGACCTGCAGGTCCATGCCAAGTTCTGCCTCCGCCGGCCAGCTGGGCCAGATCTCACCTTTGATGTACCCAGCACAATGCCTGCGTACCAAGTTGGAGATGTTCTTCTTGGCGTGATCAATTTGCGACTGATTCAATCGCTTTCCACCCTCAACAACCCGACCTTCCCAGGAACGTAGGCGCTGCACCAGGTGCTCCGGGACGATGTAGCCTTTGACATCCAGACCTATCCCCGCTGCATCTTGTGGCACTTCTCTGATGAGGTGCTGGGCCTTCTCCGGCTCGACATCCTCCACATTCTTCACCTCCGTCAGGTCGTCCAGGTACTTGGGGTCGACGATGATGGTGGCCTCAAGGAACTTGATGAATATCTCAAGCTTTCGATCTCCTCGGACTCCGCCAGGTATATAGCCCACCAGCTCCCCCAGGCACATGACCCACACCGCTTTCTCATCCGTGTAGTTGAGCTTGATCTTCACCCAGACGGGCTTGCCCATGACGTCCTCCTGATCTAGCGTGCCTCTGGGCGGGGACGGGATCATCACCTTCCCCAGGTCAACCGACGAAGATCTCATAGGCGCCATTCCACTCTCTTTCTTGCTTTGGCTCGCCCTTCTCTCACTTGCCTCCTCAGGGACTCTCTCTTGGGCCTGCTCGATTGCTGGGCTCCGACTGCGGCTCGGTGGTCTTCTTGTGAATCGCCGCCTGAAGCCTTGCAGCATGCCATTCGGGTGCGGGCTGTCCTTGCGAGCTCCCGTGCTTCCTTGTTCACATAGATGGTCGTAGCATAGGGGAACTCCATGGCGTGCTCCTTTAGACGCTTTGTGGCATGTCAAAACCCCACACTTCCGCTTGGCAGCAGCACCCTGATAGACTTGTCGATGATGTGCACAAAGTGGGATGCGTGCTAGCTGACCAGGACCAGGGGGGCGTACATCCGAAACCTCGATGTCCTCATCAAGTAGGGTCGTCTCCTCCTGCGTCGCCATGTCGCTGCATCCATCAGGTGCCAAGGGGCGCATCTCACCATCAATCACCAGCCCAATTCGGACTCCTTGGCATGATGACTCATCCCCCTCCGCTTCCGACTCCGAATCGGGGTCAAGGAGCCGTTCATGGCCATCTTCGTCACGAATGACTCGGTTCGCCTTTCTCGCACAGCACAACCTGCAGCAGCATCGCATGAGCCTGGCCACCAATCCAAAAGCTCGCCATAGGCCACGTCCCAGTAACCCAATGAGCCAACGTGGTGAGCCATGGGCGTAGCGGTGCAGGTCCAACAGTGCTTCATGATCAACTCCCGCGAACTCCTGGATGTGCAGGGTGTGTTCAGCTCGGCATTCAAGTTGTCGACAAAGGTGAACTTCTCCTGCTTCTTCCAGTTCACGGCGGAACTGCCGTGAAGTGCATCCTGAAACTCCGCTGAACTTCACGCGAAGGCCGTCACTGTCGATCCTCCGCAACATGCTCTCCTCCTGCAGCAACCGGGCGACATGCCCACCACGCCGAACAACCACATCGTTCAAGCGCCTTCGACTTCCGCGCCCTTTCAAGCGCTGCTGGAGGTACCTGGTCTCCGTGGGCCACCCAGTTCGAGGTCCATGCCATTCAATGTCACTCATCAAGGGCCGGGCACTTGGCAGGTGTGCTTCGACGCTATCACGTCGTCTGCAACAGCAAACACCGAGGAGTGCTTGCACTCCGCTGCCTAATGCCCTGCAAGGGCCAGTCAAAGTATGGAGGCTGTACGTCAGGATGCCGAGAATCCCTGTGATGAAGGTGATCATGACGAAGCATGCCACCCAAGGCCACCAGCTCCCAAAGGCTTGAACCCCGATGCCGTCCATGAAGTAGCCGGCCCATCCACCATCAACTCTCAACCTTCCTGGCAGGTCGGGAGTTCCAAACCATGGGGCTTCATCGCTCAGGCCATAGGTGCGCCACCAAAAGCCCCAAACCACCCCTTCGAACCACCAGGAATCGCTCTCCAGGTCGTTCGTCTCATTCGGCTGCGGCCTACCGCTGCCTGCGCCCATCTCAGTGAGGTTCTCCTCAATGGTTGGGGCGTCAAAGCCTCCCAGCTGCCATGGCCATCCAAGAACGGCAGGGAGGATGGGCATCAAGATGTGTTTACACATCTCCTGTGCTATAGCCACCCGTTAGTGGCTAAGCACCCCCTGAGCCCAAACTCCAGGTGCGAACGGCTCATAGAACCTTACGTTTTCCCTGGATCAAACTTTCATTTTGGAACGTTTTTCTTACTGGTGGTGAGCTTCCACGATCCAGAAGTCCTAAGAACGGCTGTTGGGATTTCTTGAGCTTTGCCGGTCTGATACTGGTCTTGCGTGAACGTGAGCATCGATGAGCGATTCCAGCGGCAGTGGCATAGAGTTGAGCCTTAATCACATGGTTACGCGGATGGCATGGTGGCATGGTCCCTTGGAAGACTACTCTCGTGTACCAAAAAGGGGGTGAACTCCACTTCCATGTTAGTGAGTCTGAGTGTAATTCTTGGTGCTTCGCTCACGGGAGTAGTTCTTCCCCATTTGCTACACAAATGGATGTTTCACTCGCCCAGAGAGTGCAAAACAAGGTCCCAACATGAAGGGGGGAAGTGAGGATGGGCAAGAGGTGTTCATCCACTTCAAGCTTCGCAAACCCAAGTTTCCAGTTGAGAAGGGTGTTCTTTCTGATGTGAGACAAACCCCAACAGAAATCTGTGCCTGGCCTTCTCAAGCAGGACGTTGTAGTAGATGTCCTGCTCATTGACATGCGGTTTTGGGTGGAAGCTTGATTTGCAACGCCTGCTCTCCAAACCCCTTCTGAGAAATGGAAAAACAGAACCGCAAACTCTTTTGAACACCCCCACTGCTTCGGAGGGCCCGGTGCAACACTCTCCCAAACACTCTAACAAAACAGAAAGGGGCACACTCTTCCAAAGAAACCAAGCACCCACACACCCACCCTCAAACAATCATGGAACCGTAGCAAAACGGCCTTTGGAAAGGCAATGTTTCCTCTATGGTGGGCCGTCTTCCTCGGCTCTCCATGATTACCTGACGGAAATAGAAGAAACATGAGGAAGCCACACTTCCCTTCCCTGCCCTTGTTTCTAGTAGCGTCCTTGTTCCTAGTAGTAATGCCAGGAGCTAAAAGTAGCATCCTTGGATACTAAGGTGCTTGGTTTTTTTTTGCGTTGATCTGACCGAGCATCCGTCCGTTCCAACAAGTTGCCGAGATCTCCCAGCAGTGGAGTGTGGTTGGACACGTCATATTGACTCACGGCCATACCACTCAAGGCATAGCAGGTGTGATAGAAATCCGCTGATTTGTTGGGCTTGTCTCTCAACCCGCCCGCCGGATGTTGACACGCCAAGAGGAGGTACATCTGCAGTGGCTCCGGGGCAAACCAGCAGTGGTCTTTGGGCAAGGGCACCTCAGCCATTGGCCAGTTCATGTGGCAAACAAACATGGAAACACACATCTGGCTTGCTCGTTGATGAGGGAACGTAAAGATGTATATTACTATCTAAACGGTCCCAACCACAAACTCCAACACCCTCAACTCACCAGTCAGGCGGGTCAGGGCGCCTTTTCGCTGCCGCCTTGCCGAAAGGCTTCGTGCAGCAGGGGGAAGATGGCGCCCTGCCAGAAAGAGTAGCAGGAATCCACCAGTTTGTTCGCTCTGCCCTGGAAGCCACCCTCATGGGTCATCTGCTTGTGCACGGCCCACTTCAGGAAGCCTCAGTCCAAACATCAGGACACAAAACAGCAGTCAGATTTGGCGCAAATGAGTCGATCTAGGTATAGTTTGGTGTCGCAAATGAGGCCCTTGGCTTCGGCCAGGGTCGCCAAATGTTAATGGGCTTGTCTCGAAACCAGGAGGCCGTGCCAACCAATCATTAGCTTTTCCTCTCTGATTGCTCGGCCACGTTTCGAGCTCCCAGAGTTGGGGTCCGGTAGCAACACCAAAAGGTGACACAAATGCAAATCATTAGAATCAGACTTTGAAAGGAGGTACGGCAGTGTCTACCAAATCATCTGAATTACCATCCAAATTCTCCATCTCTTTAAACTTAATCTGCATATTGGACCCTTTAAAATTCATGTCCCAGGGGCCATGCAAATCCAGGGCGTCTGCTTTCCCTGCAATGCACAGTGTCGCAAGGCCACAGTAGGAATATCCACCATGGGCTTCCTCACTCGCGTGTCTCCGAGTACATTCTTGGGCAGGGGTCACGCACACACACACACACACCCAGTGTTTGCCTTGTGAGTGGGCCTCTTGTATTGAGGGGGTTGCGGGTCAAACATCAAAAACAATCAACCAACTCTTAACCCTGACTGTCTAACACACACACAAGTCACAAGGCATCACAAGGCGGCGAACGGAGCGTAAAGCAAATTAAAGGACCGGATAACCCCACATATGAGTCTGCGCATGGAGCTTCACAAAGTGCTGCGCCTGCCACGAACTCTGCACATGGAGGTTCACAAAGCGCTGCGCCTGCCACGAAATCTGCACATGGAGGGTCGCAAAGTGCTGTGCCTGCCACGAAATCTGCACATGGAGGATCACAAAGTGCTGTGCCTGCCACGAAATCTACACATGGAGGTTCACAAAGTGCTGTGCCTGCCACGAATTCTGCACGTCAAGAAGCAAGTGAAAACTCTAATCACAATGGACGGACGGACCGGCGACCACCGCAGACAACCGCAGACAACCGCCGACAACGCAACAGCCAGAGCCTCTAACGGAGCATGGAGGTTCACAAAGTGCTGCTATTGAGACTCTTACTGCGTGATGTGTGGTGTCTGTACGTGTGGTCTCGGTGTGGAGGGAGGGGGCGGGAGGAAGCACCGGGAGGCGGATGAGACATAGAAAAGAAGAACCCCACACTAAGATGTGGGGAACAAACAACTGAAGTCAAAAAAACTCCAAGTTGGGGCGGGTCGTGGGTTTGGTTGTGGTTTTGTCGTGGGCAAGCGGGTTGAACGTTGATGACTTCCTCTGCTCAGCTGCTAAGCCCTCCTCGCCGGCAATACCGCCCTCCCAGGTCTGACATCTGCCTGGGCGGTGCGGCCCCCATGGGCGGATGAAGTACTGCGCGCTGTGAAGCAAAAGGCATGTGGGGCGTGTATCACAAAATAGGGAGAGCTCCCTAATTATGGACCCCCTGGAAGAAGGAAAAACAAAATACACCAAACATCCATTGAGCCATGGAGACTTCCATGGTGGTCTTTCGCACTAAGTGGATGAACACTTCGCAGGGTGCCTATTCGATTGAACGCCCCTCCAACTTCTGCATTGAGCCGTTCTTCCCTCAAAAAAAGATGCGCATCTTCTCAGCCCTCAATTGCGTCATGCAAAAAATGCAATTTGTGAGGGTGGGCAGCCACCAAACCTAGGCCTGGGGTTCATCAAATTCGTCTGGACCATCCAGGAGTCCCTAGGCAACCAGTTGTCTGAGGCAACTGAAAACAATTACTCCGCAAATCGATCTTCCCGAAGCAAAGCTGCCCCTACACTACCAGATCTTTCCGATTTCTTTCCACCCTGGACCGGGAGGAAACACACACAAACACGCACATGAACATATCACCAATCAAAAGAAAACGACTCCCGATGTCTGACCTCTCATCTCAGTTGCAAATGTACTCCGGAATGCCCTCCATGAGCTCATCGGTCAAGATGTGCAACATGGAGGCCACAGCGATCGCGCAGTAACAGCCGCGCATGTCGGTCTCGCCCTCGTCGTGCATTTTGAAGCCACCTTCCTCGTCGAGTCTGTGCTGCGTCAGAGTGCGGCCAAGGGAGGAAGGAGGGTGGCAGATCGTTGCTGGCCAACCACCGTGTGATCTTTATGCTCCCTGATGGTTCATCATGGAAGTGGATGGCACCACCTGTTTTGAAGGCTAAATGGAGGGTGTGCGGAAAAAGGGGGTCAGCAAAAATCGCTTATACGAAGTTAGTGCATCAAAAAATACCTTCCACGAAGTTCTGCGAAGGTTTCTGGGATTTCGTTGCAGTCAGTTCTCCTACTGGCCCACCATTCCACGAACTGTCCACGAATGGCCTTGGGTTCTACGAATGTCCCGCGCCTTCCACGATGTTAGTAGAATAGGTTTTTGCAAAACCCTTTCTGTGCACTCCCTTCCGTTTGCCTCTGATGTTTGATCCTGTTTGCAGGTAGATTGTAAAGGAAAATGGTCATCTTACTGGTCATGTTCCCCTTCATTATTTCAGGGAGTGTATATTTGTGGCTCAGTGCCTCAGTCTTGGCAACACGAGGGAAAGCCGGGGGTAATTAGTGTCTCGTCTCACTACAAGTCTTGCGGGGAGTCTTGCATGAGACGTGCATGTCCTAAGTCCCACGTGTGTGGCCACTGGTCTTCCTGGTAGCTTCTTGGGCTCTTCACGTCAAGCCTCTGGGCTCTTCATCCGCATGAGAAAGTCGTACATGGCAGCGCGATCGACCACCTGGGATGGGCACAGCAAACAACGCTGGTCATTTTTTGCCCAGAACAACGTTGTGACTTGGATCCTTCCCACCCTGGGCCGCCCCACGTCTTACCAAACAAACAAGACTCTAAGACGTGGCTTTCGCCGCCTGTTGGTATCAAGATGAACCTGGGCGGTCTCACCAGGTGTCGCGTCCTCAATCACTGGCCATCCCAGGCGACTCCAGGTGTCGCGCCTGGTAGGCTTCCTCCGTCCCCGCGACCATGAGCGCGGAGACCGCCGCGTAGGTGGGCGCCAAGTGTGGCAGCTGTGAGGGGCCGCCGGCGAAGCCACCCGTGGGGTCCTGGAAAAATAACACAGCTTCAATGACTACCAGGAGTCACATGGAGGGCCTGGGTGGTTTGGCTGGTCCCATCCAGGGGCTGTGGATGTGACAGGGGCACCCCGACTTCCTCCAAGTTCGGCACCCCTTTGTGACTCCTGGTGTAACGACTTTGGGAGAATGGTTAGAATGTGTTCCAAAAAAAAGTGTTGATGTGCACCAAAAAGCTGAAGAACCAAACATCTTCAACAGCAGCCCAACCCAAATGTATTTGCTGGCAACTGCGGACCAAATTTTTGAGCTGGGTCCCGTCCCCTCCTGGCAGTGGCTCAGGAAGGAGGCGACCTGGCACGCTGCGAGGTGAACATAAAACAGGAAACATGTAATGGTGATGGGTCGGAACGGATTTGGCCCCTTCTCCAGCACTTCCTTCAGGGTCGGAGCTTTCGATGCAACATGAAGCTGCTATCGATGCACGCCCCATTCAAGCAAATCAGAAGGGTCGCGTCGCACTTGCGTCGAAAGCCGGTGGTGAACAAAAAACAGCTCCCAGTCTTAGTACATTGTGACAAGTACACGGCAAGCAAAAACAATAGAACAGCCTGTACCCTCCCTGCAACACACACGGAAGTGGACGTCCAGGCCGCTGGAAAGACAATAAATGTTCCTCTATACAAACAGAGGGCGAACTCCACTTCCATTTTTGTTGAGTGTAAGTGAAGCAATAGTCAAAGAACATGACACGACATACATTCGCAACATGAAAGAATAACACCATGTCTCTTCCGAGGGCAACACCACTGTTAACACCATCCCATTCGTGGAAGTCGTCTCCTGGCCTTGGGTGCCCAATGATCATCGAAGTCGCCCAAGACTTCCATCGCATGGGCGATCCAGAAGACGAACCACGGCCGCGAAGCATCCTGCGGACGTGGACGTGGACGTGGCGAAAAGAACATGTCCATCCACATGTGTCCACCATCTCATCTACCACACTCAACCAGCCCATACTACCCGTCCCTGTCCCTATCCGTCCCCTACCCATCTAACATCACCCAACCAATGCATCTCTGCACCCTCCCCACCCTCCTGTCACCCCCAAAAAACCACTCACCAACCAACCGAAACCAAGCAGATCCAATCAGGCTTCCCCCCCGGGGTCCAAACCGGCGAAGTTGGGCGGCAGCGAGGTGAAGCCTCGCTTCAGCCACGCGAGGTGCGCCTCGCGCTGCAGGCAGATCTCCGCCTGGGCGCCACTGAGCCACACGTGCCTCGCTGGAGCGGACGCATCGACGGAGGTGACACGTGTGGCACGGAGGTGACTCAGGTGACAAAGGAGCGACAACGTCAGCTCTGCAGGAGCTCCTCGCATAAACAAATAAAACAAACAAACAATGGCCATGATGAGATATTTGTTTTATTTTTTTGCGAGGAGCTCCTGCAAAGAGCTGCTGTAAATGGCAAGCCAGCTGGACGAAGGATGTGCGAACATGATCTCGGTCGAACATGATCTCGGTCTATTGAATACGCGATTCTACCCGGTATCTACCCCCCAAAAAAATGTTTAAAGTGAGTTCGTTTGATTTGATGGGCCTCAAATTTGCTCTTGAGAGCGCTAGTGTAGGATGCTTTTTCGGTGTAATTGCATTTCTGTCACATGTCCTGTCTTCTTCAGCATCCTTTCCTCCACTCGGTGGATAACAACGGCAAAAAAGCATCACGACAAATGCTAATCGGATGAAGGCTTCCACTATGTGATACGTGTCACACGATACATGTGTCATCCTTTCAACTTGGACGCCCTTGTTTCTCCCCATGGTTTCCTTCGGTTCCTTCGTCGATGGGAAGTCCCTTCTCGGTCGAACCGCCGGTCCGTCGTTCACCGTCGACGTGGTCATCGCTGGGGAGAAGGTTGTCCCCCGGGCGGTTTTCGAACCAGGCCTCCAAGCAACGAAGTTAGGAGTATACCTACAGACCTTCAAAGGGGTGTCCAATGGAGATCCACAAGTAGTGGGAGGGCATTCCATTGGAGACCCAAAGCAGAAAGGTGGTAAGCTGCATTCTTCTCTTTTTACAGGGCAAATAGCCAAGATGCTTGAAGAAGGCCAAGACATTCTCCTCACAGCTGTGTTGATCTTCTGAGGTCAACGTCTCCGGGCCGTCCAAGATCACCATCGCATATGGGGCTGTCCAGCGCTGTCCAGCGCTGTCCAGCGCGCGCGCGTGACCGGTGGGGCCACAGCGTCCAAGCTTGGGCCAAAAGGCTTGGAGAAGCAAGCGCCTTCAAGCACATGTCCAGGAAACCATTCTCATTCTATATCATTCTATTAGTCGAATTCACCTTCGGAAGTCAAGAAGAGTCGCCCGGTTTTGACTCACATTCCTGTTGGAAGTATTCCTTCACCTCTGACACTGGACGCATGCCCATCCATGCCACTGATCCTCTTAGTACTGAGCACTCGCAGTAGGTGCGGATCACAGCCCGATGTTCTTCCCTCCAGTAGGGCCAAGATCGGCAAGAACAAGTCCTAATTGCTCTTCTCCAAACATCTAGTGATGGAATTGAACCCTGGGCCCCCCCCTAAAACCAGCGCAACATCTAACAGCGCACCAGCACACCCTCAGGTGCTGAAGTGGCGCACCCCCCTTCCACATCCTTCATATCTACCACATGAGATCCGCTGTATGTCCCGTCCTTGGCATCTGGCAGCACCACCTGTGCGGCACGGAAGAGTGGGGACAGGTCGGTCGTCCGTGACGTTGGCCATCAGCTTGGCGCTCTGTATCTGCTTCGGCCAGGCTGGCACAACACAAAAGGGACACTGGGGCTCTATAAGGTATACACTTACAGGGGTGGCACCAAAGTAAGAAGCTCAAACCTTGAAGAACCATGCTGTAGGGTGGAAGCGAATCCTATCATTTCTTGTACTTTGCAGCTCTGAAGAGCAGGTTTCTTTGGGTGATGTTGCGAAGCACTCGTCCATCAACCAATTTCAATCTCTAAAGCACCACCTTCCATCCCAAGCAAGCTGGATTCGTGCTTCGCACCAAGCTCTACACATCTTGATCTACGTTCTCCCATGCGCTCCCGTAACAAACATGCCCAGACCGGACCGCGTGCGCCCCGCGCTCCGTGCGCCCCGCGCTCCGTGCGAAGCGCCTTGAAGCGACAGAGGCTCCGATCGTAGGAGCGCACGCCGCGAAACTCCGGCTTGGGACGCTTCTGCCCCTGGCACCACCTGAGCCGTTGGTCGCCAAGGAAAGCCGGTCACGACCAACGGCAGCCGGCACTGGCTGCGGATCACGCAAAACCAAAGGTCCCGGTCTTTGAGCCAATGACCGCCCAAGTTTTGGGAGGTTTCTGGTTCTTTTAGGGTTCGTGAGAAAAGCCTCCCGTGCTGCTCAGCTTCCTTGATGGTCTGAAGGAGGGCATCCCTAATTTCAAGTAATTAAATGAGGCGTGTTGCTCATTCAAGATCTGCGTGGGCATCCGCTGGTAGGACTTCACCACCTCAGCGACCACGACGCGACATCAGCATTTGGATACCACGGTATGACGGTCAAAGCAACTTTCGATATAGCTGGCCTCTGAGCAGCATTAATATCAACAACTTCAACTTGCTCCTATATTTACTCTTATTCTTGTCTGCTGCAACTCGAGGAATGCTCCAGCCATCTTCAAAGGAAAGAACATGCACGTCATGTTTGTGCAATCTGCTTCGGGGACATCCTTTCCCTCGTTCAGACAAAGGACATCCATCCTCCTATCCTGCCATGCCTTTGCGGACATTGAGCCGCCTCAAACGTGACGACTTCCCCGATAAAAAAAGACTCCGGGTGCCACCCAAGCAGCGGTTCCATCTTTCTTCTGTTCCTCGAAGATTGGACTGGAAGCGAATGGAAGCGACCCGGGTGTCATTACGACGATTCTCAGGATGAAGCAAGGTTTGGGGGCAAACAGTAGTATGATTCAACTCACTTAATAAACTATCATTAAACATCATTGAACTTATTACATAAACATACCTTTTTGATGCACCTGGGGGCATTTTAACCACAACCCCGTTGACATTTGTAAATGACATTGACCTGCTGTGATGTCCTGGATGAAAAAGGAATGACACCTGAGATTGCTTTGGGTGAAGCAGGAAGCTGGTTGATAGCTGGATATAGCTGGTGAATGTCACCTCACTTTCTTAGGGAGTGCAGTGGATCCCCGTCAAGTCCCCAGTACCGAATGGCTCGGCTGGAGCTAAGGAGCTTGGAGGTGGGAACCCCACGCCGTGGGAGACAGTATGCAAACGATGGAAACGTAGCATGACTTGTCACTCAGTGGCTTTGGAAAGACATGTGCGAACTCTTCCCAGCTGATCACTCTTCCCAGACCAGTCGCCAAAGGAAACACTGCCCAAAAGGTCCACCATCTCTCGCCGCCCAGTTTCTTGGAGAAAGGTTGGACCCTGCCCTATCCCAGGGCCTCAGGTTTGACAACAAGCACTCGCTTTCTTCCGTCTTTTTGCACTGATGATGTGCAAAACCACCAGTTCCACCACACAAATATCCTGGCTAGCACAAGCTCCAAGTTTCGGGTGGCTTGTCCTTGTACTCCGTCCCCGCTCCACCTCGCTTTCCCATGAGCTTCGCTGAGCTTCGCCGCAGCCGTGCGGCCCGAGCGACGCTAGCGACGCGGTGGCCGGACTAGTGTCCTTCTGGTGTGTGTGTGTGTGCTACTTGTGTTGTAGGAGGTAGGGAAGTTCGTTTGCAGTTTGCAACTTCCAAAGTAACTTTTAAGCGACCGTGTGGTGTACTGAAGTTACTGGATTTGGCTTGCCCGCCCGCCAAACGTTCTTGTTCGAAGTGGCCTTAGGGGCCGATGGCCCACAGCAAAGGACTCCCATAACAGTCCTCATTCATTGTCAAAGGACTCCCACACAATGCTGAAGCTGTGAACCCCCCGGCTGACGCACCTGTATTGATTATACGGTTGGTCCTTTACTGTTCAAAATCAAGACCATGTTAGCTTGGGCATCCAAACCAAAAGGTCATGGCTTCAGCAATGATCGTAGCCAGAATCAGGGCGCCACGCCCTGCCCTTGCGCCGGAAGCAGCGAAAAAGATGTGATCTCGGTCAGTCCTGAGGGTGATCCTGGAAAGCTGACATGGTCTCTTTCTGGGTTGCCTCGACATGGTTGTGAAAGTATACATAGGAAGCGCTGTGGCGGTCAGAATGAAGATCATTCCCAAAAAGAATCAGGGTCGGAACGTCGACCTGTTCCTGAATCCAATAAGCAACCCTCTACACTTCCAGCGTGCATGCCGCCTCGCGCCGTTCCTTTTTTCCGACCCGGACTCGTGGAGCGGCACGGAGTCAATGGGATCGACTGCGGCTGAAGATGTCTGCGGATCGACTTGGGGAACCAAATTCAAATCCAGGGGTGGCCCTCTCTGATTGGTGAGACCCTTTTGCCAGTCCTTGTGCACCTTTTTGAGGCACCACTGGTCACCACTTCCTCACAGGTCGAAAGACACAAATGCTGGGACCCACAAGCTTCCACATCCGGATTTCTTCAGCATCACTCCGGCCACGATCGATGCACCCTGTCTCTGTAACATGTTCGGACGCGGGTCGACACCGAGAGAATTTCACTGACGTTGTTTTCTGCGAACGCCGCATGCCCAAAGCAACGCTTTTGGGGGTCCTTGCGTGGGAATGTATGAATATTTCAAGTCTTTTGCCATGATCGTTTATGAAAAATGGAGTGAGAACCCATATGCCTAGCAATCCAATTCTCTGCGTTTTCTACCACCCCTATTTTGCTCAGCCATGTCACAGAAACAAACAAGAACACCTTGGAAACAGGTGATGTGTCTCAATGAGTTGAGGTTCGTGAAATCCTCCAAGTCCTGATAGTTTTGATCGCGTCCGGCCTGATCATAGTGCTTCTGCGGGTGTCGACCCCCGGGAAAAGAAGCTTGTACAGTGATTTCAGAGCGAAGCGTTGCACGTTGCACGACGCGCAATCCCACAAATCGTCTCCTTGACCCCAGGTCACTAGACTCTGACTAGTCACTCTGAAACCAACTGCAGTTCCAGTGAGCAGGTTCTGTACTTCAAGCAGTGCCAACTCATTAAAGCTCCACGAAAGCTTCGCTGCTTTCGAACGCGGTCAGTTCTTCAACAGCCCACGGCGCAAGCCGCGCCGGCCGCGGGTTCTGCGTCTCTTTGGGGCGGCCTGGAGCGAAGGCACCGAAGGTGGCTCAAACATATGGGCTACCTGATATCGCCTGATATTCTTTCAAGTGCAAACTTCAATACAACTCGATCAGAAACAACCACCTGCTCCGCCTGTCGGTCGATGAGATCGAAGAGGGCGGGCGCCGGTGGACACCGAGGGCTGAACCTGGTGAGGATCGTGGAGCACCATGGATCATGGCTCGCTGGGCGCCCAGCAAGGCCGCGGCCGGCCGCACGAGGTGTTATGGTCCCGAAACCACCCGGCCGACACAGGGACCATGTCGTTTCTAATGAAAGCGTGAATCACTAAAAGCATCACACATTTGTGAGTGGCACGTTAGGTGAAACATGGTGAAACGCTTTTCTTGGATGACACGTGGCAGCGATTGGGATCCATCGTATACCGCGGTTGGTTGCCATCGGACACTCCGATGCTTGGTGTTGCGCTGCGTTTGCGCCGCGTTATATACATAGTGCCTTGCTTCCAAAACATGGTGTGCAGCCCAAACCCCATGGGTATAGACATGAATGCCCAGAAGTTGGAAACAAACAAGCACATATTGGAAACATCAAGTTTGTTTGGAACCACTTTTCCAGTGTTTGACCGGCCTGCGGTTCTGATGGGCAAGCCGGCTCTTCAGCACACTCGACAGCCTGAGATGTGCTTTGGTGAGCTCTCGCAGTTCGAGGTGTGCTCTCTTGCCCCATACTGGAGACGCTCATGCTCTACGACCAAAAACGGAAAGAAGACAAGTAACTCACAGTGTGAACCGAGCATGGGCAGCATAATTAGGCGAAACTGCAAGAAGGCTGGCACCATGATTCCTTGCAGTTAGTTGTAGTCAAAGGTTTAATTTTTAAATGCAACCTCCACGTCGGTGCGGGCCTGGCCTAATGTAGACTCTTGATTAATAAAACACCCATTTCAAGAGGTTTATCCAAATGGGGTGGGTTCATTAATCAAGAGTCTAGAGATGTCTAGAGTCTATATTATCAAGATTCATTGGCAAACAGAACCAAGGCGGAAGAACCAACTCCTTCCGTTCAGCTCCCTGTGGCACCACCACTTCAGCTCAGCGACGTCGGCGTCGGTGGGGCCGGTGGGCACCAAGGGGGGGATGTAGTCTCCGGCGGGAGCATGATATTCATCCTCCTCTTCGATCCGCATCTGAGCCTCCTCCTGAGGAATGTGCGACAACTCCACTCCCTCTTTTGGTCCAAATTGTGTGGGTGCCTCTTATATCTCTAGTCTGTAATTCTATCTCTTGTGCATTCTTGTGCTTTTCATGGTCTTCAGTCTTCACCCAATGAATACTCTCCATATACATCTTCTTGGCAGACCCTGGGAGTCCCACCTTCACCCCGGTCCCCACCGTCCATCCCACCGTCCAAACAACGAGGAGCTCCCGGCTGCGCCTCGTAGGGGTCTTCGACCTCCTCTTCGGGCTCATCCATGCCGATGCCTGGGTGCGGAAGGGTGCCGAACTCCCGATGCAAAAACATGGCAAACCTGGACAGCATGCACGCCCCATGCAGCAGTGCTCCATGTGGGGACGGCATATGGTATTTCACTGTCATGCAGTCATGCATGTTTCTCCAACAAAGCGAAAAAAGGCAACCGAGGTTGAAGAAGACAAGAAGGATCGCGAGCGATCCATCTCTGTCGATGTTCCTGGAGAAATCTTCTTCTCTTCGGGGAGAAGATTTCCTGACTGAAGGCGGAGATACCGGATGTAATCAATCTAGTCGTTCTGATTGTCATGGCCTGGTTTGCTTGACCGCTTGACCCTGCAACCAACACAAACATCCGGAACCCCACATCAAACTGGAAGTGCCCAAAGAAGCCTCCTTCTCACAGCTTCAAACAGGTTCAGAGCAAATAGATGTGCTGGTTTTCACGAAAGTAATTGGTTGTTGGTGCCATCTACTCTCTCAAGACCACTATGCTCACTATTGCCTCATCGGTTTCCCTCATCGGGTCGAACTTCACAGCGCCAAGAGGCCATCCAGCTCCAAGCCCGACACGTGCCGCGAGTGCGTCTCGAAGAGGCCCTGGCGATGGCGAGCAGCGACGCGCCGGATAGGGGCCGGTGCAAAGAGGACGGGTGGGAAACAGTTTCCTGGCAGATGCGGCAAGAGGCCGTTGCGCTACTTTTACTATTTTCCCTCCAGGCCCAGTAGGCCAATGTCTGCAAAGTAGTGCTTCGATCCCGTGACTGGCGTGAATGGAGCGGCACAAAAAGAAGGTAGGCGTTCCGATTGATCCAGGGGGGGGCACCTACTTGATAACACCCATCCAGCTTACAGTGACCGTGAAAAACTATAGAAGAGTGGACTTGAAACCCACCTATCTATTTGCAGAATCAGCATGTTGGAATGGATCTAGGATGGACCGGATAATATTACGCATGCTTCTCACTGGCCGCCCTTCAATCTCTTGAGGTCTAATTATGCCCAGTCAGTGAGAAAAAACACAAAAACTATGAAAAACAATAAGCTACTTAGTAACAAGTGCCTCGCTTCTAGTAACAAGTGTCTTACTGGTACGAGTAGTAACAAAAAGCTATTAGAATCAAAAAAAACATGAAGACTTCCTTCCCTCCGATCCCGTCCCGATGGCCCGGGTGGGCCCGGGTGGGCTCCGCATCCGCTGCGCCTTGACGCCCTGGAAAATGGCGCCCGCGCCGTTCAGCACGCCGCCCACCGCGGTGCCCAGCACGTCGCCGAAGGTCACGTCCTTGGTGGGGACCCGGGGGTGGGGGTCGGGTGGGAGCGGAGCATGTGGGTTAGAAAGTCGTGTGGGCCCAAAACAAGTGAAACTGCTAAGTCTTCTGCCAGGTCTGGCTTAGTTGACTCCAGGCTTTGCCGCAGGACTCTTGCGACTCCGACGGTGTCCCGTGCGACGCCGGTGCGACGCCGTCGGCCTCCCGGGACGGAGCAAGGCCCTTCCCTTCCGCACCTTGGCGACGTTCACGGAGCCATCGGGCAGCTTCGTGTCCTGCGAGGACATGGGCAGGACATGGGCGGGACCTTGGTGGTGCCCGGGAAAGGAATCCGATTCCTTGTGACTTCGTGTGTAGGTCGGATTAAACTAGGATGAACAAAAGACTGGGAGTCTGAAAGGGCGAACGGAGACTGCCCAGCTAAACCATTTGGACTGGGGGCCCCTACTATGTTTGAAATCACTTCTCAATTGGTCTCAGGACAGGGAAGCCCAACATATCCAAACATATAACTGATGCGAAGGAGGGGAATGGATCAACAACCTAGGAGCCTCTGTCCTTTGCGAGTGGGAACACTTATCGTTTTTCAAGCCTCTACCCTTTCCCTCAAGACTTGTTGGTAGTGTGAAAGCAGGCCTAGAAGGAGCGAACAAACATGGCCATGGGAGCCTCATGCAAATCCCTCCTCACCTAACATCTCTGAACAACCAGACCAACACTGCTTGGTCACTCGGAGTGTCCCCAACGCCAACTCCCTTCCAATTGTTCTGATGTTTTTGTGAAGCCTCAGGAGGCTGATAGTTCCCGAAGCCCACGATGCGCTGCGAGAGCTCCTTGTACTCCTGCGATGGGTCGAGCTGGTCTCACACCGCCGGAGTTCGACGGTGCGCGGTCGAGTCTCACGTCTCTTGCATGCCCATGGTGGCTGCTGGGGAATGTGTTTTGTTTCCTCCCTCTCATGGCATCAGAATACCAGGCAAGTAAAAGTAGACTGGTGATAAATGAAACCTCCCTATCAGAATGGTTTGACATCTCCAGGCTTTGGGGTTTATGAATCAACAGTCTGCACTTCTTAGAAGGTTATGCTCTTGTATAAAGCTTTTCTATCAAAGCTGCCGAGGTCAAATAGGTTCTCAATTCCCAACTATGAATTGATCTGGGTTTGTGAGCTCCATGTCCTGTTGGAGTGCCACCTGCCACCTAAACCACCTCTCAACTACTTGCCATTTCTGCAACCTTCGTTCTAGGCAGCCTTTCACTAGACTCCAGTCTCTCCAAAGGAGTCCCAATGTTCAACAGCTCCCCAGGAGTCCTAGGTGTACTGTATGCTCCATTTCACCCCGATAACGGCGGTTTCCAACGCCACCCGGTCCTGGTGATAAAACTCGGTGGTTTCCAAGGCCTCCTTGGCTCCCTCGGCGGCCTCCCGCACCAGGCGGTACGGCTCCTCGGTTTCAGCGCGGTTTCCACGCTGAGAGGCCATCCCCCCCAAAAATGGTTGTCAGGATGCAATGCCACTTATATAATAGAGACACGCGACACCCCACTTATGAGGTTTGTTGTGTATGTTAAGAACCATACCCTTTTGCCCCCAACAAAACAAACCGGTTCGGTGCAACAACCCTATAATGATGAACTCTGACCCTCTACTTCAAACAACGGATGCCTTTTGAGACCCTATAATTTTAAAGCTTCCGCTGCTTGTCCAAACCCCAAGTGGACCTGTTTCCACCCACTCCATCCCACTCCGACCCACCACGTGCCGTCTCCGAGCGGCATCGCCGAACATGGGCGAGGGGGGCCCCGTGAAGACGGAGGCCTCCAGGACGGAGGACCAGCCGTCTGGTTGGCTCAAGAAGGCCTGCTGGAAGGGCGGAATCCTGAGAGACGCATGGTGCAGCTGCCTCTGTGCGGCAGTGTGGAAGGATGTTATCTAGAGAAAGGCTTTCTTCAGACATAGTTCTACTGATTCCCTGCAAGTTGTGCTCCGACAAACTTGTTTGTGCTGTGTGATGGCGCCAGCGAAGCTGTGAGGCAGCAGTCCTGTATGCGAGCGTCTTGATCACGAAGAGTGACTTGAGCTTGACGTGCCTTGGATTGATTCATGTGAATGATGGAAGTACGCGTTATCCTGTCCCAAGCACAAGATCATCCGCAGGACAAGGTGAACACCCATTGTGGACAGGAACTTGCAGAATTAGATGAGTTTCCAGAATGAGAGACCCCAACATACCCCAACTAAGTGAAACTGAAAACATCTCTGAATGAATTCATGTTTCGGGGTCAACTGGAAATGTAAATCAAGAAGAGTATCTTTGGATTCCAGATCCAACCAAGGCAGTCACATCGTAGGCCAAAAAGCATATATAAATCAACGATTCCAACAAACTGTTGGTGTCCCCAACAGTCCCAACGCAACCGTCGCGTCTTTGACCCGTCGCGAGCCACGCATGATCGCCGTTCACACAGTCGATCAAATACTGTGCCACCTCGGGGATCGCAGAGGGGCTGGCGTTCGAGACGTTTTGCACCTGGGCGCAGGCAGGGCAGGGTCATGCAGGGTGGCTGGGAAGCCCTAAGCAATGAAACCTCATCTTGGCCAGGGTCGATGTGACTGCATGCAACCCCCCAAAATAGGTATGGGAAATATGTTCCGGTGTATGACGAGGTGTTCTCTAGCTTGGCTGCACTGGTGAATCATATTCACATGATTTCACAAGCTTCAATCGAATGAGACATGCCGACCTCAAAGAGTTTAACCCATGTACACCATGATGCTCACTGGCAACGTGCAAACTGTAAACATCTCCAAACGAAGGACCCTCTGGGCAACCCACATCTGAAGTTTACCAACCCACTTTGTAGCGGACAAAAGACCTCTTTCTCTGCCCTACCCTAGGCCCTAGTGCTTAGCAACCTCTCTATCCGGCGCTACCGGGTCCCCGTACTTCTCCCTTCAAACCTGATTTGCCCTGTAACAAGCAGGCCCCATATGGCTCAGGAGATCTCAGGAGCCGCTGCAACATTCGCTACAAGTCAATGAATCGCAGTGACTTCGTACAAGCAACAAACACCATTCTTGGTATTCCGTCACGTAGTTGTTCAATGTGTTTGTCCACGTTGGTGCGATCCTGGCACCTCCCCAAACGGCACTTGGGCACTCCCCTACCTCTAAAAATTAAATACACGTGCCGTCCACCATGTCGACCATCATCAGTAACTCCGCCAAAAACACCGGTCCCACCCCACCCCAAACCGCTGAACTGGGCGCAATGTCGTTGAACAAATACCCCGGCGTCGGCGTGTTGTCGCGGTTCGTGGCCCGGTAGAGGTCGCCCCACTCGATGGCCTCCTCAGCACCGAGTGGATGGCGATCGGCCCGTGACGACAGGACTTCCGGATCGCCGGTCCAGTCGCGAAAGAAGCGGCGGTGAAGACCTCCGTTCCGTCTGCGCACATGGCAAGAAAGTCGAACGAAACGCGTTTGATTTTATAATTTGATTCATTTGTGGGTGGGGGGGAGTCGCAAAGTCACTGGGAATTTGGATCTTTTTGGATCTTCCCACATCCTCAAAGCGCATTAAGGTCTTCTAGAAAGTCCACTTCGAGTTGCCAGCAACTCCTGCTCCGTTTTGCCGGTCTAGCCATGCTGGGTCTAGCTAGCAGCTAGCTTGGACTTGGAATTCTCATGGATTCAATGGACTACCAGCAAAGGTGGCGGTGAACTATCTTCCCAGAATTTCAAGATTGATAGACCAAGGTCTGCGCACGGCGAAGAGCATGCGCTTCAGCCAGCGGAGCGTTTCCGAGCCCCATCGAGTCTCCCTCAACTGGACAACTGAAAGCCATTGCCAACCCATTTGGTCGTTTGGTGCTGATACTACCTTGTTCCTAGTAGCTTCTTGTTGCTACTAGTAAGGCACTTGTCACTAGAAGCGATGCACTTGTTCCTAGTAGCGAACCTTGTTCCTGCTCACCCACGAACCCTTTGGCACACACTTTCCACACTTTCAACTAACTTCAGGCCTTTCCCGACTCCACCTGCCATGAACCCACCTCCCCAAACCGTCTGGGCCATCCAAACCGGTTCCAGGACGTACTCCGACTCCGGCGCTGCTTGGGGCGGCGGCCCCACCGGCACCAGGCGTTGCTTTCGCCTCCGGCAGAGCGGCTCGGCGCGAGGCGTTCGTTGCGGCTCGGCGGGTTCGAAGCAACAGCCCTCCGCGAGGCGTTTTCTTCACAGCGCTTTTTTTTCAATATGTTTTTTATTCTTTGGGAGAGGCTGCTGTGAGGCTGGAATTGAGGTATCCCCAGCCCGGACAGCCAGAACGCAACGGAAAAAGGACAAAACAATTTGGAAGCCCTGCATTAGGGCGCTATAAGGTAGAGGCCATCGCAAGTAGGTTGCTACTAGCAACAAGAAGCTACTAGTAACAAGGGTTGTTGGGCTGATATGCAATGATACGTGAAACGATCCTCCCCGGTCACCAGGTCGCGGGAGTGATGTGGGACAACCCAATGGTTCTTGATGAGCATGGAGGGAGAACGACATAGTCATGATTGTTAGCTGCTCCTAGTAGTAAGGCCCTTTGCTCCTACTAGCTTCTTGTTACTACTAGTAAGGCACTTGTTACTAGTAGCGATGCACTTGTTTCTAATAGCTTCTTGTTACTACTTTGATAGTTGATGGGTGGGTTTATGTTCAAGACATCTGCAAAGACAAGCGTGAGACTTGTCAGTTCAGCAGCTTTCATGAAGCAAAAACTCTTGCGGGCTACACTTTTGCGTAGAATGTGAAACACGAGTAGAACACGCGCCTCGGCATCTTGTTGCGCAAACGGTATGCTTCACATGCCCGCAGAACTTCTTCGAGTGTCGAGGGACTCAACTAGAGCTGAGGTTTAGCTTTGCAGCTGGGGTTTTACCGCTGTACGAGGGATGCGGAAACTGAGTTTGCAGTATGTTATTCTTGCGTTCATTGACTGAACGGCCATACAGAACGATCCAGCGTAGGATAACCTAACAACTTCGGTTTCGCCAACTTCTCAGTGAACATCGAAGAAGGACTAGGGTAGGTTGTTTATCTGTGACCCGTGGAGGCTTCTCGGGCGGTTGTTAGTGTTGGCTGGATGAACATGCTGGTCAGCAATCGGCGTACCAGTGAGAAAGGCGACACATTCAATTGCATCTTGGCCGGTCAGCAAAGTGGTTGGTGGCTTCTGTCTGCTACTTGGTTGATCGAGTTGATCGGCAAGCGCCGGTTAACTTGGCAGGGTACTTGTTGGGATCCGCATCCACAATTGCAAAGCTGTATGCATGTGTATGCAAAGCTGTGTGCAAGCAGCCTCAGATGGGCTAGTTGGTTTCGCGTGCCGGAGCCAAAAAGGTCGCGAATCGTCTGTCTCCAAACGGTCAGGCACTGCCAAGCATGCTAATCATTGGTGGAGGTGTTTGTCTCCATGTTCAACCCTGATCCCTACTAACATCCAACAACCATGGACACAAAATAGGAACATTGATGATGCTTCCTTTCTTAGAAAAAGAAACAAACATCGCATGTCCCAGGTCATCAGGGAATCTAGTCAACGATAAATTCCCGTGCTCAATCTCTCAATCCTCTTTGCCACCGGATCTCAAACAATTATGTTCGTGTCCCTCCCAATTGTCTGAACGCTACGTGGCTCCAACCTCAGACTCTGCTGGCGGACTCTCGGATAAAGCTCTTAAGCCTCTGTTCGTCAGGTCGTATGAAAGGCCCAGGGGCCCAGGGGCCCACAGGCGCAAACCCTGCATCATGTTTGGAGAACCCACACCCCACAGGCTTTCCAGGAACCGGAAGGCTTCCAACCGCCAGCGATCTCACCGACCCGGCACTCGGCCCTTTCTTCATTCACCCCAGTGGAGCGCATGTGAAGCTGGCCACCTGAGCTTGTGGCACTGCAACATGAGAAGGTTTCGGGGTGTGGCGTTGGCCACCTGAGCAGCCAATCCATGAGCCATCCAAAAAATGGAGATAGAAACATGGCCATGCTGCCATGTCAAACATTTAGGACGTGTATCGAAGGATGATTGAAGCGTTGATCTGTGCACAGGAGCTTCTTCTCCCTTTGTGGCACTCACGAACGTCCATGGAGCTTCAACACCGGACAAATTGACCTTGAGTTTTTTGGTTTTGGTACATAGAGTTGGAGAACCTCTCTGTCAACTGTTTAATCGATGTTCGGGGTTGAAAGACCAGGTGAATCCTTCCAGGGAAACATCACACTACAAGCTCGCTGAAACAAAACAATACCGTACCAGTAAAACAAAACACACCCACAGACAACAAGAAGCCTTGATACACTGCTTTCTTTTCGAGTGGCCCCAACCAATATCCACATCTTGCAGTGGTGAAACAGATATGTAGCCACCGGCTGCATTCTGAGAACCCGCGCGCAATGCTGCGCGCACTGTTCGCAGAAACCCTGCTGGTAGAGGTCCCGGTATCCTTCCTTGGCACGGTCTTGGTGCGGAACGAAGTGGGTTGCCCAGTTGCCTCCACACAAAACAAAAAGGGACCACTAATTGGGAAGGAACTCACTTCCAGGACTTCAATCAATCCGCACTTTCTCATCCTCATATACATTGGTGCCATCTGCTAAACTGAGCAAAAAACGTTTCTGCCAGCGGAGGTGTGCCCTGATGTCTATCCGAGATGTCTGCTCAGTCCAAGGCTCTGCCAGGCGCAAGGCTTCCTGCGGAGATGCGTGCTATTCGGATGGGGCAGGAAGTGAAGAGCATACTGGGACGAACACATCACATGGTGGTGGATGGCTTTTGGGACGATGTTTTCAGGACCAAATTCTCCATTGTTCCATTTTGTTCGACATGCTCGTCGAATTCACTTTGCCTAAAGCCCAGGGAGCCGGATCTGGTCACATCTAATACTCGGCCCTCAGTTGACTGGATCTGTTCATGCACAAACCCGGCAATATCCGGCGATTAAATAGAGGAACAAAACCAACCGGACCCTTGGACAGTTTTTGAATGTCTTCGGCAAAACTCACCCCAAGTAGCCAAAACCCTTCTTGTGATGTCACCACGGAGCGCACACCTTTTTCCTTCGTTACTCTCGGTTCAACCCCAAGTAGCCATGCACCTCACTCAATAAATCATTCGATGCCACTTAGTGTTCCCAAATGAGCTGACGAGTTCTTCATGCGTGCAGTCAACCTTTTCAGCACAGGACCTCTTTTGTTTGAAGATCACGCCACGAAACCCTTGGGAAATCCGGTAGACCTCAAGTCCTTCGTTCTTGGGATCAAGGTCCACTTTCCGCAGGAAAACCATCGACGCCAACTGGTGCCTTTGTCTCCCTTCAAACAGGCTAACATACGAATATAGTACGGTATAATCCCCTTGCTCATGGTCCATTTATGTCCATCTCTTCGTCGTTTGGCCTGGTGCCTGGGACGGCTTTTTTCCCTTGAAAACCAAGCTCGAAAACACCACCAGCGTGTGGTCACCTCGTGTCGACGAGGTGGCCCTAGACACAACCAGCAAAGCCGCTCGTACCGCTGGTGGACGAGCAACGCCGGCTTTGAAGGCTCTGCGGAGCAATCTTCGGACGGTCACGACACCGAACACGGTCAGGTGCTCGGCAAGACTTCGGCGTTCGTGCAGCGAAAGACAAGGTATGGAATCGGACCTGCTGATCCTTCGAAGTATGTTTAACAATGACTGCACCTAACTAATGATGCTAACCACCCTTGGAATAGCTTTCTTTAGACTTGGACATTGTCGCCCCCTTGTCGTTCTTGTGACCGAACCCTCAGCACTTGCGCTCTCGGCTGTAGGCGCAGTCGTTGTCGATGGACACAAAGGCACACACTAAAGCTACCCAGCTGGCAGGTCTCGCCACCAGGGCGAAGATCTTGCCTTCAGTTTTGGCCTCCCGAAACTTCCATTCGATGGTGCAGGGCTGCAGCTTCTTCACCTGGGGCAGCGGTAGGCGCACAGCGCTCCCAACAACCCCTTCTAGATTCTAGCTCTGAAACTGGAAGATGCTTTGACAAACGAGCTCAAGGTTTCAGATTCAGCAAGAACATAGAGAACCTACGAGAACCGAGTGGCCAGGTCCTTTGCGATGCTGCTGGAAGCTACTTTGTGGATGATTTCGTCAATCTGGAGTATGAAAGCCATAGCAACGCAATTGAGCACCAGGTCTTTGTTGTTCTCAGACTTGAGAATGAACCTGTTGCCTACAAAGAGCAAATAGAGTGCGATCAGAAATTTACAGAGAATAATGAACGCTCCAAACGACTTCTCCGGCTGCTTCCATATCATCTCATCATACTGGCTGGGAGTGCCCTCACACTTGAGGTATTTCACATAAGTGGCCTGCCATATCCACTTGCGCATGTTTCCGGTCTCAGCAAGGTCCTTGATGATTTCCCCAGTGAACACGCCCACAGTCATCCACTGCAAATTGACGCAAATGCCCTTGCAAGGTTCCAGGTGTGGAATCTCCCGAAGAAGGTAGCCACTGATGCTGAACTGAAGCCCCACACTGAGCGTGACAAAGAACACTTCCAAAAGAACAGTCAGAACGATCAGGAACCTTTGTTGGTTAGAGACTTTTCTGAATTCATCTGCTCTCCAGTCATGAAAGAAACCATGAACAACCAAAATGGCTGAGGTGTAGGTGCACTCAGGGGCTTTGAAACTGCCATAGATCGTTGGCGCTTGGCAGCGCTCCACCAAGTGTTGGGCTGAGCCATTGAGTCAAACCGGCTCAACGGCTGCGAGGTCTCGGTTCTCAGCCCCCCAGGAAGCCACTGATTAGGCTCACCACCTAAGCCTGTCGGTGTGGGAGTGCGAGTGACCCAAGAATGGCAAGACATGCCCAAACACGGACATCACGCCAGGGAATGGCCTCTATTCCTTTCTACTTATTAGGGCTAAGATGGATTATAAGTGTCTAAGTAGCTTTGGGCTTGCGTGCAACATCTCCCGAACATCATTCTCACGTGGCAGTCCCATCATTCTGACTCCCCCTTCCATCTGGACATGGAAGCCATGAGGGAACACGGGAACATGCGTGGGACTGGTGAAACGGAGATTCCGTTCCGATGTATTAGAAAAGACCTTCTGACCGAACATCGCCAAAGACCTGGTTGACTTTGGTGCATCCTGTGTCCAACGGAAGTGAGAAGGGACCCCTTCAGCCAAGGACATAATTATGCATCTTCCACTGGATCTTCCTATAAAACTTGAATTTCTTCTGTTGCTTGGTTTGATATCGCGTTCTTCTCCACCAACTGCGGCCCCCCCCCGGAGCAGTCCTGTCCCAGCTGCTCCGGCGAGACCCACGCGCCATCGGCGCCGCGGTTCGCGCGACAGGCGTCGAGGTCGGCGAAGTAGCGCGGCAGGTCCTGCGGGTCCTCGTCACGCGGTGTCGCAAGCACCACTGGGCGCAGCGCAACCGCGGAATCCGCGGAACTTGCGCGCGGTTTCCGGTGAGAAGCACTCAGAGTCTTGGACGGGATGAGCCTTTTGCTCCTAAAAGGCGAATATTTCAAAGGGGAGCGGTCAAATTTGGCCATCTTGGGTGGGCGAATCCTCCCAGTCCCGGATGGATTCCTTATGACTCCTCCAATCGCCGCTCCTTGATGCCGTGGTGCATCACCGGTCCAATGGAGCTGCCATGCCTACAAGGAGAGGCCAACATAGCAGTTGAATTTGTCCATCCACACTCCCTTGTTGAAGAATCATGATGATAGTGTTCACCAGTTGTTTCGTATGAGGATTTCATCGCCTTCCTGTTGGGGCCCATGCCATCCACGTTGGCCCATGACTCCAAACAACGTGCACTGCAGCTGCCGCAGTGCAGCCGTCTAAAGTCCCATTCTTTTGCCGGATCGACTGGGAAGGCCGGCTGGCCATCCAACCGGCTCAGCCACACCGGCGGAATCCATGCCACCCATTGCGTGCCCAAGCACGTCAAGGCCCTGTGTAGCAGCCCGCTAAGACAACAACGTCCCAGGGTCACGCTCGTTCCCCAAATCCCCATCGCCAACGCGCCAAGCGCCCAACATTCGGAGGATGTTGGCCTCTACCGGAGTTTCCAACCCTCATCCCTCTGGACTTCAACCTCGGATGAACTTATGGTTTTTGTTTGGTCTTCTAGAGTTTCAATCACCCTTTTTATGATCACCAAATGATCACGAAGGGCACACCCGTGTGCAGAGTTCAAAAACCACAATGATCATCCGTTCGATCCCCTGGAGGCTTCGTGCCGCTCCTATTCAGGTAGACCCCGTCATCCACGAAGAAGCTCATCCGAGGCCAAATGGAGAGCACCTCGCGTGACGAGATCGACCGGCTTGGACGCCCAGAGGGTCACCGGCCGCGGGGGGAGGACATGTCCGTCACTGGTTGGTGGATCTTCCAGGGGCGGTTTCACATGAAGTCTGGGACACTCATGAGAATGGGACCTGAATCTGAAATCCAAGAATGGCTGCAAAGAAGCCCTGCCTATTTGATCCTTTTGCAGACCTATCTGGTAGCCCAACGGTTGCCGGGCTATCCTATGACCGTGTTGATCGTGTGACCAGGCACGCAAGGCCGGCCGCACAAATGGCCCAACTTCGTGTCTTCCATGTGCCAATGACGGGCGGTGAGGTAAACCATCGCTTCCTGCCAGTGAAACAAGACACACACATTGTGGGTCCAAACATGTTGATCGCACATGTTCTGTTGGGTCAAGAGTCAGCCGATTTCCTCATGATCGTTTCGCTGGTCATTGAAAGTCTTAATTAAATGATATTGCAACATATTGCATGATGTGCCTGTATAATTAATTACCCGGAACCAATGCATTTCGAATGGTTGTCCCGTCTACGAAGTACACAACTTGTTTTGATGTCAAGAACTGAATCTGAGTTGCTACAATCTCCTTGGTGTTGTTTCCATTTACGGACAACTTGTTCATCCTGTTTTTTAAAGAACTAACGCAGTTCAGCACTTGCAAGGTCACCTTGCAAGTGCACTCCCAAAGGCTTCAACTGACCATACAAATCCAAAGAAGCAGTCCACCCTTTGAGGACCCCCTGCCGACCTCTGGGAAATAGGCTGTCTTCTTGGTTGTGTTGCTTGGTTGCATTGCCAAAGCCCAAAAGCTGTGATCCATAACATGGACCTGACCTGCGTGAGATGTTTGGATGCGTTTGCAGCTTCCACCACTTCGGTACGCGGCCAATCTGTCCTCCACGAAGTGCCAATAGGGTGTCAAGTCCTAGCAGCTCACACGCATCATGGAATCCATGGAATTCTATGGGGGAAACCCCCACACCAAATCAAAAACCACCACTTGAGAACTGAGGGAGCCTTTCAAGTCCCGCAAAAATATCCAACAACCTATCGGACCTACGAGACCTACGAGCACTTTTTCAGATTCCACTCCGCCCGCGAGTGGTCTGCGGATTGTCCACGCGCTGCATCGCTTCGCGCGGAGGGCCTCCACCATGGCTGTGAGGTTGCCGTAGAGCTCTGCCACTCGAGTGGCTTCGGGTCGTTCTAACGCCTGCACCGCAGTGGGCTGTGACAGGTGGACGCTCGGCAAGGTAGAGAATCAAGATCTGCCGGAAATGCATACATAGACCTCCAAATAGATTGAATTGAAAAACTATATATAGCAAAACCATGTAAAACCCCTCTCAAAATGTATTGGACACCGTTTCTATCTGTTTGGGGGTCCCCGCCTCCATGAGTGCCACGTGTAGCGCGCCGTTGTCGGCGCTGCTGAAGCCTGGAGGCCTCCGCCACTTGAAGGAAGCCTCTTCTCAGGGAGCATCAGGCAGGGACCGACTACGCCGAAGTCATCATGGAAGTGGACGGCACCACTGGTTTGGTCTTGGGCAATCCTTTCGGGCCATACCATCCACGTAACCATGATCATTCCGGGACAGTGTCAATAGGACTACCAGGCTACCATGAGGAGGACCGGGATGTCAATGATGCGTGTCATTGTCACTATTCAGCCGCCCCAAAGATCGATTTCAATCATAGTGACCAGTTTCTTTTAGACACAAACTGTTTGGACACCAGGAGTCACAAGGATGGGGTGCCGAGCTTGGAGCGATAGGGGTGCCCGGCACATCTGCTCACCTAGAGGAAAAAGAGAAACCAGTGCAACCTCCATGTGACTCCTGGCCTATTCAAAGTCTCGGACGATCCCAGCCCAGCCCACCGGTGCGACGGCGCGACATCAGCGCGACATGGGGAGATTGTCCAAGTGACCCAGTTGCGAAGGAACTGCCGCACCCAAGGCCGGTTCCGGGCGATGTAGTTGCCTGGCGCCACACGATGAGCACAAGTAGGATAGATAGTCTATGATATTCCTCTCAAAAGCTTTCCGGACAGCTCTTGAAGCGTTTTTTCGGGTGCGAAGCCTCGCTTCATCGCACCCTCCTGCCGAAGCAAAGTGATGGCGGCTCACAGGCCAACAGTGATGGATCGGTGCCCTGCCTTCAAGCGCTGGTAGGATATGACTGGATGCCAATCCAGTCAACTGGAGCCTTCGGCCTATGGCCTTTTCGACGTATTCTCCCCAAACCAGCTTAAGCAGCTTCAGTGTGTCTGGCTGCATTGACTTCCTCACCTCCTCATGGAGTCATTTTCCTCCATACGGAGGTCATGATAACGCACCTCTACGAAAGGGGCAAAATAAGCCACACAGCTCTTGAATCAGTCTAATCATATTCCCCTATATCAGAAGAATCGCATGTTACATCTCCATCTTGAAGGGTTCTTGATTCCCTGTCTGCATGTCAATAAACAGGGGAACCTCCAAAACATACGGTGAGTCAACGAAAAATCACTCCACACCACTCCACTCCACTCCCTTCACTGCTGTGCCTGCCATCACTTCTTCCCCGGTGATTCCTCAGCGAAAGCATCGCCACGGACGCGACGTCGGCCGCGACGGGCGACGGGCGACGTCGAAGCGATCGCGGGATCAGCCTCTCGGCACTGGCAGTCTTAACAGAAGGAGCTGCAGGTTCTTTGTTTCAAGGAGGTGTTATTCTGTGGAGACTCTTTTTTTGGTCGTGTTATCAGAGATCGACACAAACTGAATTTGGCCGAGAGGCTCTTGTAGAACTGCAGGTCGCCCTGACTGCCCATCCACATGTCAAGGCTTCTGTCCAAGTCCACCGCAACCACATCTGCATCCAGCACTGCCAAGGCATACCTGGTTGGCAAATCTGAGCTTGAAGGTGTCCAAAAATGCCATGTCAAACACTGCGAGAACCACAGGCAGCTTGTGACAACTAGAAAGAGTAGCCGTAGCCAGCCCCTGATATCAAACCCTGCTGCATTCGAGGTGCCGATCCTCCTGCTGCTCTAGAAGATTGGCGATGGCGCAATGCTTTTGGAAGAAGAAGTCCTCCACACTGCTATACCTGTCACTTCGGCGCTCGCACCCACTTCGTCTTTCCGCCGTACCTTCTGAAAAAGGTCCTTCAGTGAGCCCCGGCTGGGCCTCGCATTTCCTCGCAGGTCTGCCTTTGTTGACAATTCCAGCAGCTCTCTCACCGACATGACTCTCATCTGACCCATCCATTTCTCCCATCCCCAACTCTTTCCCCCCTCCCCGTCCCCAAGCCAGCCGTTCGCCGAACTACCATGACATCTTGGTCTTCGAGAAAAGGCCAGCTGAGGGTCAAAACCAGTTAACCCATTAAACATGAACAGAACACGAACAGAATGAACGACCTACCGCCCGCTCAACCAACCAAGGGCTTTTGGAGCTCCATCTCGCGCCACACGGCGCTGTCGCGTAACACTATCCCTTGGAGCTCCAGTTTTTGACACCCAATGCCTTCAGCCGAAGTCCCTTCACCCGTCCCCCGGGCCAAAAGCTTGCTGCTGGCTGGTGGCGGTTGGCATTCCGGGAACTCGCTACCCTGCAGCAGCCAGAAGTCATAGCCTGAACATCAGATGAGAGGACTGGAGGTGGATGGACCTGAAGGATGGATGTTGGATGAACACTCCTGGCAATCGATGTTTTCTTCCCCTCCATAGGGGGGAAATGACCGTCCGCCTTTTTCTTTTCGACTTTCGATGAGCGGACCGATCACTCCAGCGCACCGCCTAGCATGTGACAGTCCGGAAACACCATCAAAACAAAACCCATCAACTGCCTCCAACCTGCCCACGCCACACGCGGCAACATGTTCACGTGCCTTGCGCCCGGGCGTAGCAGCGAAGGCTTTGGATTTGCAGTTGATATCTCCTGGGTGCAGCGGTGTCAAGCGCTTTTCGCCGACGGCGGAGCTGGTTGATGTTCGTTCGGCTTCTTCGTTTCCCTTCTGCCGATCCGGGGGGTGCCTGTAGCATGCATAGCATGTCCATAGCTAAGCTAGGCGCTCACAGGCGAGTTTGAAGAACACCTCCCTTCGCCAGGCGCCAGGTGGTGCAAACATGTGTCTTTTCTAAACATGGCAAACTGCATGTCTGGCAAATCTTGTGCAAGTGAAACACCACCCCCACACTCCCCCCCCCAGCGTTCGATCGCCGCGCAACCCTGGCAGTGCTGATGGGCCCGAGGGGCACTCGGAAGCCGTCGTCCGCCACGATGGCAAGTCCTTGATGCCGTGAGCCTGAGGAAAGCAGGAACCGCGCATGTCGCTGGGACCAAAAAGGGCACCCCAAAAGGGCACCACACGCCAGCCAATGCCCATGAACAATCCCCAGGATCTTCGAATGTCCGGCTTGCCATCTATGTGTTCCCACCATGTCCCTACAGTGTGGCCCTACAGTGATTCTCCTTCTTCAGTTGAAGTAGGGCCGGGTGCTTCATCCTTCCTTCCCCTACTCCGCCCGACCCACCACCCTCCTGGGGCGCCTGATGCCTCGGGCGCGGCTCGCGGAGCGGTCACCGCCAGGGTCACCGCCCCGTCGCTGGGCACCTCGGCCCGGAGGATCCGGTCCTGCGGAAAGGAGAGGAGAGGAGGCTTATATAAATCGTGGTGACCTCTTGGTAGAGGTATGTGGAGGTTAGACGAAATGATGTATAAATCGTCGTTATATTACCCAAATGTTCCATTCTATACCCCTTCTATACCCCTCTTGGGGTGCTCATGAAGGAGAGAAGGATTGGAATCCGCCATCCTCATTCCCCTCCCTCGGTCCTTGGAGCCGCGGCGCGGGGCATGCGCATGCGCCGCATGTGCGAGGCCAATGAGCAGCAATCCATATGGAAGCGCCCGGCGGTGCATCGGTTTCGTGGCTAAAACAAAGGCGTGTCTCATGATGCAAAGATTCCGCTCCTATGTGTCAGTGTGTAGCTCCACGTGAGGAGGCAAGCAAGTCCCATATTTAAAATATTTGGCCAACCCTGAGCGCCGACCTGTTGTATCGAAAACATCAACTTTGAAGGGGGATTCGTCGGACGGGACCTGTTCCAACCTCCAGCACCACCGGCGGCCGGAAAAGACCTGCTTTCCAGTGACTGCATGAGCCCCAATCAGCGGCGAGAGGCATGTCAGCCGTACGTGAGCGGCGACGTGGCTCCTCTAAACTCTAAACTGAAGAGGGTCCAGTCTGTGACACTTTTCTGTGCCATCTTTCATTCAATATCCGTGAAGAAACCATGTCAACAAAAGCCAAGAAGAAAGGAAACCCGACACACGTGGTCTTCTTCCGTTCTTCTCTCTCGCTCTCATTGGGAGTGGTGGCGTTGAGGCCACACAACGCCGCACGCACTCCGCGCGCTGCACCTTTTCCCGCGACTCACTGTGGCTGGCTGGCCCTCAAAGCCCAGAAGGATGCCACGGGCCTGTCGTTGCTTGGGAAGATGGCACATCTCTTGGAGGGAAAGCATCCCAGATCGAGTTTGTGAAACTATAACACATTGGCCGTTTTCTCGCATTCTTGAGGAGTTTTCACTATAATAACTGGCAATTATTGTTGTTGCCCCTGTTAAAGGGTTGATCGAATAAAGAGGGTCATCGAAGTCACACACATAGTGAGCCAGTGAGAATCATCCTAAATATCCTGAACATTGCTCCCTCTCTAATTTTCCAACCTCCCAGCAAAGGCAAAAAACTTGAGTGAGACATTCCTCTGCTGGACTGCTGACTTCCTTTCTGAAACATCTGTCTTCCACGGAGCCATATTCAGTCTGTAGTGTATCAAGGCTTTGAAGACATGGATTGATTGAACAATCGCTTCAGGTATGTGGGGTCGAAATATCACGAAGAATCTACACTCCTGCATTTGGATGGTAAAACCTCTTCCTATGGCGGGTGTGAGGGGCTTCTTCATCAAGAGCAATAACTGGTGCTTGCGCAAGAGAATAAGGGCATGCGGCATGAACCCTTACCATGGATTAATAGATAGGCACCATACCATAGATTAGCACCCCTTACCACATCAGCATGGCATGACCCTTTACCATATATAGGTTCATACCTTAGGATCCAGGGACTCTCTTCCCGCTGCGAGTCGCACCAGGAAGCTCCGTTTGCCTCCAGGATCTCCTGCTCACGGCGGCCCAGTTCATCCTGGAGCGGTCGAAGCCCCAAGAAACGCCGCCGCCGTCGGTCCACCGACCCCCGTCAAAAGCCATGTGTAGAGTGATGTGCTTTATGGACACATAGCCAAGTGCGCATAGTGGAAATGCCTTTGATAATATACTGTTACAGTAGTCTTCTAATATTATATGTTTTGCTTCGTTCTATGTCCAACTGAGCTTCTCTGACCCGTAGAAGCAACCGGTTGTCAATAGACGTTTCTTTCTGAAACTTCCACAGCCTGGGGGTGCGCTCACTTAACACTGCCCAAGAGCTTGACTCATACCCTCCAAAATACATGGAAGTGCACCACCCAAGAAAACAAGAACACTTTCCACAACCAGCCATTATGTCACCAGACCCTCTTGGAAAAAACACTTCTTACCACTTCTTCTAAGAACTTCTTCTACGCTCGAGCCGCCCGAAGCCCCCTTGTTCGCCTTGAGCTCATCGATGACCTGCAAAAGTTGGAGGAAAAGACATGCACCCGACTGAGCCAAAAGGAGATGATCTGGTCAACTTGGACGGCCACCGCGAACCCCGGCGAGCTCCAAAGAGCAGCCGTTACCGCCGTAACCCGTGGACCGAAACCACCGCGTGCCTCGTTCTTGGCGCCGACCACGGTCCGCAGCTTGGCCTCCACTTGCGCCATGCGGTCTAGCTCCCGCGTCGCGCTGAGTGCCCTTGGTGGTTCGTGGGTCACACGGAAGGGGCCAGGGCCTGAGGTCCTAAGGTTGGAGGAAGGGTCAAGCACCTTGAGGTTTCTGGCTCCATTCGGAGCGATGCCCTTTGCAAATGGAGTGCGACTTGATTGAACAAACACGATGGGGCACCTAGATGGGTATATTAGAAACAAGTGCCACGCTACTAGTAACAAGTGCCTCGCTTCTAGTAACAAGTGCCATACTAGTAGTAACAAGAAGCTATTATAAACAAAGAATAGGAAGATAGGTCTAATGTACCAGGTGCACCCTGCACCCTCCACAAAGTTGGATGGTGGGATCTCGTGGGCTTTGGTATTCAGGGAGTTGGGTCTTCAGGTCATGAATATTAGCAGCAGCAAGTGGTACCCGTGGAAAAACATGTTTTAAGAGTCGATATATCAACCGCAGCTTCAGTTTGGACATGCTTCCACCAGCTACATGCCCTAAGCTCCTCGTAGATTCTTAGGAATTCTGACGGCAACCACTCCGTTTTGTCTCTGCCGACACTGGGCGGGCAGCTCGCGCACGCGTGCGCCCTGTGACTCAGTGAGGTTTCCTGGGCCGGAGTCAGCCCATAGAGTCGCTAGTTCAATTCCGTGCCACGAATTACTCGCGCCCCCTTGCCTGACGACCCCCCCTCCGGCTGCCGGATGAATGCGCGATACGGCTTCGGGACTGTAGTGCTGAGTAGATGGTACAAACCCCTATAGACGGATTGGGATGGACATCACCTTTTTGGGGCCTTGGGGTGGGTGCCATCTACTCATGACTTTCATCTGGCTCGTTGGCATTCTACCCCATTGCCTTCTACAAGATGTAGACTTCGTCACATGCCTTCAACTTGGGAAACACCAAGCAGCACCAATAAACACTCATGTGCAAGCCTCAGCTCATCATCACACCCGGCCCTTCGCCGGGCTCCAAGCAGCCCAGGGGGAGTCCAGGCGGCTCTTTTGACTGTACGTCTCGTGCGTGCACGTCTCACGCACGCACTGCAGGCCGCCGGCGCGTGGGGCTCATGCCAAGATCCTTGACATCGCGGTTGATGTCCCGGTTGGCGTCGCTGTTGAGGCAAGTGGTCCATGCGCTCCTTGGAGAGGGGTTTTGCATGGCTATGGCTCAGTGCTCAGTTCTGGATGCCACAGATTCTGTACGGTCTGCATTCAGGTTATTCATGGTTATTCACAATAATGACCATATGCTTCTTGGGCAAATGGGTGAGCTGGCAAGGAACTCCAGCAGCAAAGGAGAACAGGGACACTCCCAACAAAAGCGACTCCTCTAAATGTGCCTACAGGTGATCGTTCAATACACATTCCCGACATGGACGTCGTCGATTCAGAGTCGACAGTCGGTGATTCTGTCGCTACCCAGGAGATTGAGGCAAACTACTAGTTCGCTGGCAACCGGTTCCAATTCGACTGAAGCCATAGACCGAACGAGCATCCCCCTGGTGAAAAAAAAGTGGTTTGGGATCCACTGACGGCATCGGCTTCAGCACACCACCGAGGTGCAGATCCAAGGCTGGCAGGTTACCCAGATAGTCCAAGATCCCATCCTCGGTCCATCGGTCCATCGGTCGCCAAGGCTCCCAGGGGTGACGACGCTGATGGGAAAGGAGAGGTCCAAACACCGGCGAAAGGACACCCGCAACTGGCAAGCATGGATATTGATGTCAATACATTTCAACAAAATCGCGATCCTTTGTGACTCCTTGTGCCAAGCTGGAGTTTTGAAAGTCTGTTCAATGCATCAAAGCTCCAACATCTCCAACAAAACCATGCTTCAACCGGGATTCCACCAGTCTGTGAGTGAGTCACTATTTTGCAGGCTTGACCTGTCCCAACTCCCTGCTAAAACAACAGGAACTCACTCACCACTCACCACTTACCACGGCTGGGTACTTCGAACTTGTTGATTTGGTGCCCCCATCGAAGGTGCCACACGTGGTTCCCCCAGCACTCGTCTTTCTCTCCAGAACTGCACCCCCCCAAAAAATAGAAACAATAAGCTACTAGGAACAAAGTGCATCTTTTCTAGCAACAAGTGCCTTACTAGTAGTAACAAAAGGCCATACTACTCGGAGCAAAGCAAAATCACCGTGGACCCCGGTCAAAGCAGCCGAGGCGCCAGTTGGCTACTCGCTGAGCCGTACATCACCTCCCACGTCCCGGGTCTCGAGACCTGCGACCGCTCGGCTGCGCGGACATCGGAAGCTCCCGCGCGCGCGGCCGGCAGCTCGGCTTGGGCTAAGAGGCCGCTAGGGCCTTTCCTGAGGCAAACGGGCTGGAACATGGCTGGAACATGCGTCAGAAAGGTGTCTGGATCTATCCGATCTGCGTCCCACCTGCCGAACATGTCCAAAACGGCTTCTTGGGTGACCATTTTCCCCTACAAAGATGTGGTTTCCCACTTCCATGACACATTTCAGGGAGTGTACGTTTCACATGCCCAAAAAGGAACCCGGCCAAGGTGCTCCTGTCGCGATCGCTCGGCTCGAAGACTCTCTTTGGAGCGGTGTTCCGGCTGCAGCCCACCACCTGCCATTTGTCCGTTACTGAAAAAAACAGCACAAAAAAATGAATGGACGCCCCAACGATCCTCGAACTTGAATTGGTGGGTAGTTTGGTGGGTCCAAAGGAATTATATATATATATACATCTAGTATTTCCCTATGGGCGATGAAGAAGATAATGCACGAGGTCTGAACACAAAACCCTCCTTCTTGTTGCAAAGCCTCTTGAATTATCTTGGGTTTCTTCTTTCCTCATGATGAGCTTTCATCTTTCCAACCTTTCTGCTTCACTGACCCCTCGTGCCGCACGACTCGTGCCGCTGCACGCGGCCTGGCGCTCCCATGCGTCCCAGGTTCCGATTGGACGGTGGCGGCGGCGGCGGGGACGGTGGCCGCGCGCTGGGGCTGCCACGCCAGTCGAAGTCGCGTTGGGCGCTCATGCGCGAGGGCGACTGAGCACTGGGTGGCGGTGGCGGCAAGGTGCTCCCAGGCGGCTTGTCGGGCATGGCGTAGACCATGCCAGGTGGCATGGTCGGCGGCTGGGAACTCAAGGTCTTCGGCGGGATGTAGTTGCTGGCGACGGGCGCGTGGTCGCCACAGATCATGCAACTCTCCTCCGTGTTGGAGCAGGGTGGACACAAAGTCATGCTCGCATAGGTGCTCGTAATCTGCGCGCCGCACTTCTGGCATGGCCGCATCACGGGGTCGATCTTCTCCCGCTGCTGAGAGGTGAAGTGCCTCTGGCAGAACCTGGCGCTGGCAGAAATACGGTGCCTCTGCGGTCTGGATGCTTGAATGCTAGGGCCTAGAGGGTAGATGTAGAAGATGGTTGTCAATCTGCCAATCAGTCGTGGTGTTTGCAGTTTCTCTTTGAACTTCTCCGATCAACATTGCTACAAACCAAAGGCTCTTGAGATCTCTTGGTTACATCTGTCTTCATGCTAGCACTCACTAAATAAGAAATCATATGAAATCATTGACCGAGACCGAGTCGTATACAATGCAGTGACCGCTGTGAGATTCGCACCTAGGTGGCACATCCGCTGGCGGTGCCGCCCTTGGCGCGACCTCCTCCTCATCATCCGAGTCCTGCAAGACCCTAGTTACTGTATATTACTTTTTCCTATTTCCTGGACAGCAAATCCGAGTGTTGATGAGAACACCCTGTAGATGCGGAGTTCATGGAGATCCTGCATCAATTGGGACACCACGTGTCAATCAAACACGTGTCAATCTTGTGAAACCACCAAAATTGGTTGAGGATCCCACCACCAAATGAGGCACTGCGAAACCCAAAATTTGTAGACCGGCTTTGGTTGAACAAATAATATACCTCCAAACCCGGTCATCGCTCCCGTTTGCTCCTCATCTGACTATCCGGGGCACTAATGATGGTGGCGGGGCAAAAACCCATCCCAAAAACTTCATGGGACTGACACATTTGCCTACATCGGGGTGGTTCCAGGGGTCAATGCAAACATAGGATACATGGAGTGCCCGGGTATTAGTACATCAAATTTGCCAATCAACAAATCCATTAAACCTGTCAGAATGAACATGGAAAATCAACCAACATACCAACACACCCACCAACCCACCAACCCACCCATTCACCAACCAATCAACCAACATACCAACACCCACCACCAACCATCCCACCCACATGACATGATACAAAATCAGGCAGTGATATCTTCCATCGAAGGTTTTGTAGGGAAGATGGGAAGCAGCCTATCTCCCTCTCCGCATCTTGCCCCAGAGTCCTTTTTCATGGCATTGTTCATGGCCTTCATCGCGCTAAAACTAAAGTTCAGCACGACCTGCGCCGGCTTGTGCACGGATGGCGCCATGCAACGCATGCGATGACGTTTTCAAAGCCCCAGTAATTCTGTCGCAAGCTGCGGAAGAACGTGACCACACATCCCCCCAAAAAGAATTTGGTCAAGCAACACTGAACCAATTCGGCCACTCTCAAAGTAAATGCGCATGAATGCACCTTCAAACAACCAAAACATCCCACCACACTCATTCACCCCATTCAGTATTTCAGGAAGGGTGACGCTGGGCACCACAATGCCGGGCTCTAGGTGGAAAAAAGGAAACAGGTCTGCTGGTTGGTACTTTCAACTAACCTGAAAAATAAGAAAACTCTCGTAACGGGTTGAAACTAAACATCTCCAAACCCATCACCAAAATTACATATAATGTTATGAAACCAACGCCCCCCCCGTTTGGCACAAGGAATGACTCCCCGCAAAAACCTCCATCCAAACCTCGTCCTTCCCCCACCTGGCTCGCCACTACTTCAACCGTTCCCATCCACCCGGGCGTGACGGTGATGTGGCCGATCCTCTGGACGTCGGCGTGGCGAGGTTTGCGACGGAGTCCGGTGACAAGCAAGCAATGCGCTTCACGCTTCTACACGTAGTATATATATATATATCATATCTGTAGGTGTATGTTCATTACATTCTGTTATGTTAACTTATGTTTATGTGGTATGGCATGGTATCGCTCTGGCTGCACTGGCTCTCGTTGTTCGCTCTGACTGTCCTTCCATCCGTGAGGTCGAAGGGGAACTTTCCATCCTCATCGAGCTCTTCTTGGATTCTCTTCTCTTTTAGCTTTAGGTCCTTCCGGGCAGTCAGAATTTTGCTAAAACCAACATCCAAAACAGTGTCAACCTTCACCCCCGTTCACCTCCTACACGTGTTCATCGATATGTTCATCGACGTGGTCTCGATTCATGAGTTCCACTTCGCTCCTTGAGAGTCAACGGAAAGCTCGCGGCTTGCTTGTCCAATCCTTCCACGAATTCGCCAAACGTCGACTCCAACCTCCAGTTCCGAGGGGAAGAACGAGACGAGCAGAGCGAGCAGTGCCGAGGTGCCGCTGTTCTTCCACCGGATGCCGACGGGAAGGAATGGTTGCATTGCAACGGGTATCGCGCCCGTAGAAGAGGTCTAGGAGATGAAACAACTTGGTCACTTGGTCGTTGATGGTGGGCCAAAGAGGCATCACTTGTGGCCCAGAGGGGGGTGGCGAAAGCTAGGCAAATAAACAACCAACACATGGCAACACACGACCACCCCAGCAACCGCCGCAGCAGCAGCAGCAACAGCCACAACAACAATAACTCTAACCAGCAGCGGCAGCGGCAGCAAGCAGAAGCTACCAAGCAGCAGCAGAAGCAGCAGCAGGAGTAGCTAGCAAGCAGCAGCCCCAGCTACCAAGCAGCAGCAGCAGCAGCAGCAGGAGCTACCAAGCAGCAGCAGCAGCTACCAAGCAGCAGAAGCAGCAGCAGCAGCTGCTACCAAGCAGCAGCAGCAGCTACCAAGCAGCAGCAACAGCTACCAAGCAACAGCAGCAGCAGCAGCTACCAAGCAGCAGCAGCAGCTACCAAGCAACAGCAGCAGCAGCTACCAAGCAGCAGCAGCAGCAGCAGCAGCAGCTACCAAGCAACAGCAGCAGCTACCAAGCAGCAGCAGCAGCAGTAGCAGCAGCAGCAGGAGCCATCAAGCAGCAGCAGCAGCAGCTATCAAGCAGCAGCAGCAGCATCAGCAGCAGCAGCAGCAGCCAAGCAGCAGCATCAGCAGCAGCAGCAGCCAAGCAGCAGCAGCAGCAGCCGCAGCCAAACAGCAGCAAAGCAGCAGCAGCCAAGCAGCGGCCAAGCAGCAGCAGCAGCCAAGCAGCAGAGCAGCAGCAGCCGCAGCCAAGCAGCAACAGCAGAAGCAGCAGCAGC